CAACTCAGTAACAACTATCAGGAAGCTTTGAAAAAATAAAGGTTTATTTCTTCCTGGGTTACTCACAACATATTGGAAAGGCAGCAAAAAAACTATCATTATTTGCAGATGCTACAATTATTCTCTACCCTCAGCCCCTCCCCATACCCAAGAGACTCAACACAAAATTTTCTAATAAGAATAAGTCAAATGCAAAAAATATATATAGCTGTCCTATATAGCACTTATAAACAATTGGAAAAACATAATGTAAAAAGTCTCATTATTGAAAGCAACAAAACCTCGGGACTATCTGGATATAAACTTGATAAGTGACTTGAAAGACTTATAAGAAGAAAACCCATGAAATCTTACTAAAACATAAAGGAAGACTTGAGATAATAGAGAGGTATGATGTGTTTCTGGTTGGGAAGACTAAATATTAGAAAATTTCATTTCTCCCTAAATTATTCTATAAATAGGATGCACTATATCAACATCTCAATGGAATTTTGTTTGTAAAGTCTACAAATTGTTTTGATTCCCTGTTCCTTCCATAGGGCCCTTTCCCCAAATACCATCACATTGCAGGGGCGGTCATATGAGTTTGGGGGGAACACAATTCAGTCTATAACACTGGGTTGTTGAAAGAGTTGAGAAATAGGCTCTTCTTCCATTCTCCCCTCTGCAGGAATAAACACAGCCCATAGCTTTGGAGTAAAATACAATAATCTCCTTACAAATCGCCATCTGAGGTATCAAGAGAGTCCCTGTGTGCTGGGACTAAGACCACCTTTCAGCAAGACTCCATGTTCATTTGCAGGAGTCAGGTGGGAGCCCAGACCTCTGTGTCTCTTGGCAAGACACAGTGACATTTGGCCTCTCATAGTTTTGGGACCTCCAGCACTGGTTATCACTATCCTTTGGTCATCCAGTGGATGCTGTGGTGTGCTGTGAACAAATGGAAATCAAAATCATAAAAATACTAATAACCTATTCTATGACTGTACCATAGACACAGCGTAGCTTTTTAGGAGAGCATTAAATGAAGGGTGGCTTCTTTGACAGTTTGTGACTATATCAGCTCTCATGCTTCCTGGCTCCCTGGACTAAAGCCACCAGCACAATCTGCAGAAATCATATGAAGAGGGCATAACATAGTGGACCCAGTGATCTGGGGAGAAGGAGGCAGGGATATGAGGAAGAAGAAAGATGTGTGGTGATGGTGAGTGTCTATGAGTGAGGAGAAGCTGAGAACAAGAGGAGGGAGCTGGTTTCTGCAGAACACTCTCAATCAGGCAGAGCTGGACACCATCACTTAGAGCAGTGTTCCTCAAACATGTCCAAAAGGAGAGGGCATAATTAACAAAAGTAAGAACTTGCATTTCCAGAGAGTTTTCCTCTGGAGATTCTGATTCACTAAGCCATGGAATCTGTATGTTCATATTTAACAAGTGATGTCAGACTAAATAAAATACAACTTGACTAAAAGTAAGGATAAATAAAGGAATTATGGTTAGCACACAAATAATCCAATCTAGAGTTCTAGGAATATTTGAATGCATGGAGATAGAACAATAATCTTACAGCAGAACATTTGAAAGGAGCACAGACAAAATGGTAAGCAAAGATCCAAAGCATCTTAACTTTGTCCTTTAGGAGAGCATTAAGCCCACCCTAAATAGCTGGCCAGATTTTTAAGAGTTAAATTGAAGACAGGACCAAAGAATAATGAAGTGCAGTACTGGGCAACCAAAGCTTTAGGAGAGGAACTGGGATGAGAGCATGTCGCCTGCTGCCACCTCGTGGCAGAATTGTGTAGTTAATAAAGACAGGTCGCAAGCCGGAAGAGCAAATGCTGGTCTACTATTTATGAGGGCCAAACTTCCTTTTCTAGGGCTATCCTTTTTTCTCTGGATTACGATGTTGAACAGGAGGTGGCTGGTCAGAAATAGGGATTGTGTTCAATGAGAGAGGTCTCTGTCATCCTCCCCTTCATCTATTCCATTTCCCCAATATTTAGGGTGAGGCTACCTCTTTGAATCAGACAGGCTATGTCAGACGTAATGTGAAAAGTCTCATTCTTAAGGTGTCAGATGGCTGACTGGGGCTTTCAGAAAAGATAGATCTCACCAGTAGCTGGAGAATATGGTTTTCTACATGATGAGAACTGAAAGGTTCTTTGAAGAGTGGTGGTCTTTTCTCAATTTTTGTCTGAGTGTGGGTTGAAGTTAGGGGTGAAGTTAGCACTCTGAAGTGTGGGTTGAAGTTAGGGGTGTTCTCATCATTTCCCTGACATTCTCTTAGTTCTGCCCACCTCTGTGTTGGCTTCATTATCAAGCTGGTTGGCAAGAAGTTTCCAGCAGTTTCAGTCCTCACACAAAAAACTTAGAAGATAAGTAAACTGCTCCTATTGTAATATTCCAAGCAATTAACGCTGATCAAATGGTCCATTGTTAAGACCAGAACTTTGCTTGGGGAATGAGATTTACTATTTATATTAAGACAGTCTTTAGAGATGAAAGTGAAGTAAGCTTCCCCTACGACATAGAGAATAAAGGGGGCTAAATGGGTACTTGAATAAAATCCTGGTTGTGTTCTGTTAAGAAAGTGAGGGGAGGGGGGATGGATGCTGGGTAGGCAACCAACAATGTTCATTTAGTATCAGTGATTGATTTGTCACAGTACGACACACAGGTGATGATACTCAAACTGAACTAGTGTGAGGGAACTGATATTAGTGGGGATTATAGTAAACAGAAATAGAAGAGAAAGCACTACTCAGTTCTAGGCAATGTGACCATGCAAGAATACAAGAATATATGAACATGTTAGAGCTTCAACATTTTCAAGAGGAATTGATAATCTGAATTTTTATGTCAAATATTCTATTTTATTTTATTTTATTTTTGTTTTGTTTTAAAGATTTTATTTATTTGTCAGAGAGAGAGCACAAGCAGGGGGAGTAGCTGGCAGAGGGAGAAGCAGGCTCCCCACTGAGCAGGGAGCCCAATGTGGGACTTGATCCCAGGATCCTGGGATCATAACCTGAGCTGAAGGCAGATGCTTAATGGACTGAGCCACCCAGGCATCCCTCAAATATCCTATTTTAAATGTTGGAAACTAAATTGGTTTTTGTTTTTAACCACAAAAGGCAGCCAATACTGTCCAAAATAAACAAAGCTTATCTGTTGATGAAATACAGCCTGTGAAACTCTAGTTTATAAACTTTAGGCTAGAAGAACAATTGCTTGTCATTCGGTGGTCCTGTGGATGCAAGGCTTATCAAGAGCGGAGCAGCCAAAGGAGGGAGGTCAGAGAGTTAGTGTCATTATCTCATGCAATACGTTTCAGCAGGTGGGTCTGATGCCAGCAGGCCAGGTCCAGGGACCCAGAGGCGTCCTGCAGGATAAGCCAAGAGGATCCTTGGCTTCGTGAAAGATGGAAATAAAACTTGAGCCAGCAGCAAGTGAGAGCAGAGTTTATTGAGGAGAGAGAGCAGATACAGATGGAGCATCCAGGAAACTCAGAAAGGAAAGGAGCATGAGTCTTGTCTTTGTTTGGGGTCTGGGGTTTTGTTGAGGATGGTGGTCTGGTGTGTGTGTCCTCTCAGGCATCCAGGTACTGGTTAGAACAAAGACAAGGGCCCAGGTGTTATTCCTTGGAGCTAGGGGTCTTGGCATTGAGATGTCTAGCTCTGGTGGTCTGGAGCACTCTAATGATAGCTTCCTCCAGTCATTCTCACCTGGTCCGTCCTTAGATGTCATCTATACTAGAGAAATCATTAACTCCTTGTCCCTTACAAAAGGACATATGCTATTTGCATTACAAGGCTTGTGTAAAGTGGGGTGGGGTGCAGATCCTAGCAAGAATAGAGGCAGGAAAAGGAACAAAACGCAGATTTTTATGGATTCCTTTGGTTTCCCTATATCTTAGGTCTCCAAACCTCAGTTCTCAGGCTTCTGCTTCACCTAACAAAATCTGAATTCCATTGGAGCCAGTTACTCCTTTCCTGACTAGGCAAAAACGACTTTGATACCCCGAACCACAAACACTTGTTTACCTTCTTACTTCATGCACAGGTAAGACCCTGTGGGTACAGGAACCAAAGTCTTCATACTACCAGAAATCCAGCGTGGCCTAGGTTTGATCCTTTTTTCAAAGCTGCCTAAATTCCATTGGTTCTTTTCCTTCCCTTTTGTTAAGATACAGCTATCATTCTTGCACCTCTGAGCCCCTATATGATGTCATTAGGTAGTTTTTCATAGTTCTGTGAGGCATAGTTTTTCACTGATAAGTTAGATTGATTACCTTCCTTTCATTAGGCATTTAGCTTAATTGAATGGGAAATAGTTTGTTACTGACTAAAAATCAATGCCTAATTAGCTTAAAATAGACTAATGTTGAGATCAGAAACTACTTTTGATTTATGTTTCTTATCTTTTCCCTGGTCAATTTCTTGTTCCAAAGAAGCAGAAAAGCAGTAACTGTCAACCCTGTTTGCACCTTAGCATCTTGGGGGTGGAAGAGCGATAGAGGACCGATGCCCATGCCAGGCCCTACCCTAGAAGGACCCAACTCCCCAAAGAATTCTAATGTGTTGGCACGACTGTATATAGTTTCCCGTAAGAAAAACCTACAAGCCTCCGGAACCCATCAAATCGTTTGGATTTTCTCCAGAACCCTTCATTTCAGCACGAATGGGCCGCGAGTAACCACTTCCTGAGATGGCTGAGGCTAGTTCTTTCCACCCGGAGGTTGACCGGACCATCGGCCAAGCGGCAGTCTGAACGAGTCTCCACAGCACTAGTAAGAGGCACTTTATTTCAGTAGAAAAACTAGGTCGCAGTAACATAGGCCAACAAGCCAAAAAGTCACGGCGCTCTGGCCAACGACTGCGGGGACAGGGTGCACGCCGAGGTCAGCTGCCTCGCGTTGCTACAGAGACGGCACTTGCTTCTGGGCGCTCGGCGCCCTCGCGGGGCGTCACTTCCGCCCGGCCGCGCTGAAGCGCCTTCCTCTTTTCTCGACCTTCTTCCTGTCCTTGGCCCCGCCCCCCGGAAGCTTCGATGGATCCTCGCCCGCGGGTCGGGGGTGAGAAGTGGGGGCGCTGAGCGGACCTTGGTGAATAACTGCCTGAGTGCCGCTGCCCAGCGGCGCCGGTTGTTAGGACCCAGGTTAGATCTCGGCCAAGGGCACTGCGGGACTGTGCGGGCCCTCGGGAATCTCCACCCTCTCCGGCTCCGGGGCTTCCCTCTCCTGGGCCTGCAGTTGGCGGCGCGGGAGGCTGGGGTCCTTGCCGCCTCGCGGGTCGGGGTGCGGCCCTTGTCTTGGCCCTCTGTGTCCTCTCTCCAGGCGAGGTCCGACTCAGGTTACTGCCGCCGATAACGCCTTCTCCTGGAGCTTGAATAGGAAGCAGGGTAGTGTGTAGTCTCGGTGATGGCAGGGCTGCTTTCTAAAGCAGCAAAGTGCTTTAGCATCCGTTTCTCCTTTGAGCTCCGAAACCCTGGGAGGCAGTTTAGGTAGACGGAGTGTTTGTTGCACTCGACTGTACGTAGGAGGAAACCGAAGCTCTTGGAGAACTCCTTCAAGGCAACACGGCTCCCTGAGAGGTAGAATGGTGATTCACTCTCAGGTCCAGGCTCCCTAGGGTTGCACGAAATCATGAGGAGAACGTTTGCAAATAGGGAAGAAACTGCAAGTATAAGAAAGGGAGCTAGTATTTCTGCGTGCATTCTTCGTGTTAGGCATTGTGCTATGTTCTTTCTGTACTTACTCATTCCTTGAAAGGGGCACAGTAATTATATACTCTTATTTCTGGCTTAGGAAATTGAGCCTCAGTGATGATACACGACTTGTTCAATATTAATGATTTAGTAGACATTTCTGAGATCTCTTTCAGCTCTGTGATTTTTCCAACACAATAGAATTAGTTCCTGTCCTAATCAAACTATTTTTTCTGATTCTGGCATTTCAGGAAGTGAGATTTCTCTGACATTTTTCTTGGTGTCTTCATCCTTTGCCCATTGTCTCATTTCTTATCAGCATCCTATTCAGAAATTAGTGGTTGTGTAAATTCAGCCCTGACTCTTACTCCACAGTTTACTTTTTTCTTTCCAAGAGGAATTTGGGGCTTGTGTCACTTGGTATGAAGTTAATGGATTTCGGTTAAAAGGCTGGCCAGAAAAATTGCTAGTTTTTACATTATAGGTGATCTCTTTATTGTGTCTCTTCTTGTATCTCTTACCTAAGTTTCTGGGTTTTTTTTTTTTTTTCCCTTCCAGGAAGACTGCTATCATCTGGTGCCAAGATGTCAGGAATTGGAAATAAAAGAGCAGCTGGAGAGCCTGGCACATCCGTGCCTCCGGAGAAGAAAACAGCTGTTGAAGATTCAGGGACCACAGTGGAGACGATTAAGCTCGGGGGTGTCTCTTCAACGGTATGTGGAAACAGTGCTATGAGAGTACGCTTTTTTTTTTTTCTCAATTGCATCCTGAAAGTAAGAGTTTAGGAAGCTTTCTGATGTAAGAAAAATTTATTTGAAAAGAAGAGGAAAATAGTCAGAAGTAGGTGAAATGATGTGGTGGTCAGTTCTGAAAAGAGTATGTGGACATTTGGTGTTTATTTTCAAAGGTATGCTTCTAATCTCTGGAGGGTGTGGTGCCTGATACACATTGATTATAGGCATTAGCATTGGGAAACTACATTCATTTTTCATTCACTGAAAAGTTAGGTGCTAGGTACTAAGAGGCAGTGTAGCAAAATCACTGACGGAGTGATGAAGGGTCAGAGTCTGAGGCCAGACGACCTGGAATTTATCCTCAGCACTACCACTTCCTAGCTGCGTGCCTTCTGTTTTCCTCCCTTTGCCTCTTCTCCTTGTGTATAAAATGTAATTATTATACCCACCTCATTGGGTTGTTGAGAGGATAAAATGAAAGAGCCCCTGTTAGGGCTTAAAACGTTACCTTTAATATGGTAAGTATGCAATATGTGTGAGCTATTAATAATTATTATTGGGCTAGATATTATGAATATAATGGTGAATAAAATAGTCTCTGTCCTTGCTATTATGGAGTTGACAGTTTCATTAGACTGTTATACACCAGAAGCTTAGAGTAATGTTATATGTCCATTAGACATCAGAAGCTCACTATAATTGGTTTGGATCTAGATCAGGAGTCTGTGTTCTGGAACTCAGCCAGGGGGATATGGTGTTAAAATGCTTTACATTTGTATAGCTTATAAAACCACATCTCTTGCTTATTTGAATTAGGCTCAGGATCAGAGAGAATAATGGGAACATTCAGAGTAAATTGTTGATGAAGTGTCATTTCTGAGTCTCTGGGGTTCAGCTACTCCATCCTCTGCCAGGCGGTGATTTTGTTTTAACACTGGATCTCATCATGCATCCCAAGGACATTTGCTAACTCAATAAATATAAATATTTGTTGAGCATCTGTTATTTGCCAGATACTATGCTTTACACTGAAGACAGCCCCTGGACTTCAGTTTGTAAGGTGGCACTGCCAAGGGAACAGATTGTTCTAACAGTTATGAGTGGGAGAAGTGCTGTTCATAGGGATTAATAGCCCCATGCTCTAAGGGAGGCAGAGAGGATACATCCCAGTTTGGACTTTATCCACAAGGTAGTGAGGAGCCTTTGGAAGGTCTTAAGCAGGAGAGTAACATGCTCTGCCTTACGCTTGGAGAATAGATTGTAGAGGAGCAAGGTTTATGAGTTCAGTTGGCAAAGTCATTCCCTTGTTCCTTTTCCCTCTTCTCCTTTCCATTTCATGTCTCTAAGGGTGGGGAGCTGGGGCATATATCCACTAATTCCTGCCCCAGTTGGTTGAAGGTTACCCTTAAAGGCAATATCTCTTCCTCTGCGCTTCAAGGTTGTTGTAGTGAGCCAGCTGAGGTTGTGGAACAAAAAATGAAAAGACTCTGGGCAGCTTGAGGTGGGAACACTGGCGGTGGATGGAACTGTCCACCATAGCTGTGCTGAAGTCTGGCAGGCTGACAGGACATGGCATGGGGCACAAAAGTGTCCACAACAGGAGGCTGTTGCAGTAATCTTGATGAGGGATTGTGGTGGCTTGGGTCACTGTGGAGGTAGTGTTGACAAGATTTGCTGATGGATTGGATAAAGTTTATGAGATCCAGAATTTTGGAAGTACAGACTGTCCACTTGCTGAGCTGGGGAGGAGTAAGAGAGGAGCAGACTTTTTGGGAAGCTGTGGAGGATGAGGCAGGAGTTTGATTTTGGACATGCAAGTTTGGGATACTTATTAGACATCTGAATGGGTAGGTGGTTGGATACTGTAATCTGCAGTCTGAGGAGAGGTCTGGCTAACGCTGTGCATTTGGGGGTCATCATTTTGTAGGAGGTATTTAAATCCATGAGACTAGAAGCTCTAAGTGAGTGTCGATAAGGAAGAGGTTTGAGGTTTGACTGACAACAGAGCCCTGAAGCACTTTGATATTTTCACGTCAAGGTGATGAGAAGAGACTGATCAAAGAGACAGAAAATGAAGTAGGAGAACAAGAGAGAGTGGGGGTCCAGAAGGCAAATGAAGAGAATGTTGTTTCACGAAGGAGTTGTTCAGGTGTTGCTGATGGTTTGAGTAAGGAGAGCACTGAGTGAGGAGAGCAGTGAGACATTAGGTTTGGCAGTAGAAGGTTCTCGGGAGCCTTGATAAGAACTGTATTCATGGAGTGGTGGTGCTAGAAGCCTGATTGTAGTGAGCTGAAGAGAAGAGAAGAGGAAAGGGGGAAAGACCATGTTTTGCAAGAGTATTGATGTAAAGCAAGACAAAGAAAATGTGGCATTAGCCAGATGGAAATGTGGGGTTGAGGGAAGTGGTTTTGTTTTCTTTGTAAAGTAGGAGCTATTACAGCATGTTGATTGAAATGATTTGGTAGAGATGCTAAAGTTGATGAGGTAGCAGAAAGAGGAGATGGTTGCTGGTGTGATTTCCACGAATAGGGGAGAGAGCATGTGCTATAACGCACAAGTGGGGGATTGGCCTTAACTAGGAACAGGGGCAGTTGATCCGTAGCAACAAAGAGGAGGGCTGTGAATATGAGTTCAGATGTATGTAGGTCGGTAGCTGCAGTTATGGGAGATAGATGTGGACATTCTCTTCTGATTGCTTCTGTTTTTTTTTCAGTGAAATCAGAGGCGACTCATCTGAGAGTGAGGATGGGGGAGGAAGTGTTGGAGGTTTGAAGAGACAGGAGAAGGTATGAAGTAGTCATCTTGAAGAGGGAACGGACTAGAGAGATCGAGTATTGTTGCTGGGCAGCACTGAGGACCTACTTGACTCTGTGATCATGAGTTCAAAGTGAGCCCAGGCAGCGTGGTACTTTATGTTTTGTGGTCACGTTCAGCTGCATGGATGTAGGCCTGGAGGAGTGGAGAGTTGGATGTTACCAGGGGTGGGGTTTTTACCACGTAAGTGTGAAGAAGGAGCAAGGAAGAAGGAGGTTAGAAAAGGGTGTGATTATGACTGATTGCAGAATTTAAGTTCAATAAAGAAGGGAGTGAGGAAGTGAGAGGAATGAAGGTTGGGAAAGGTATAGAACCAATGGATTGTAGATCCTGGAGGAGGTGAAGAACTATAGGAATCAGGAAACTAGAGAGAGTGAGCTGGAAAAGTAGGTGGTAATTGTAGAGAATGGGATGTCTGAAATTGAGCTTAGAGAGCAGACAGATACAGCTAACACTAAGACTAACTGGGAGTTTGGTGGCTGCGGGAGGTAGAGGACAAGATCATTGGTGGAAAGGAAGTCAACGACTTGATGATTTGAGATACAGGAAAGATCATCTGTATGGGAATTGAAATCAGTAAGAACTGTGACAGGAATAGCGTTGGAAAGTAGTAATAAGCTAGGTGCTAAATCTTCAGGAAACATGGGGAAGTGATCTGGGCGTTTATAGCCCAGTGCAGGAAGGCAGGGTGGCAGGTGGTGTGGACCAGTGGCGTGAGCTGCAAAGCTAGGAGGTTTTAGGGAGGCAGGTGGGCTAATGGCCTGGAAGTGGCAGTGGAGAACAAGGAAGATGCCTGCCTGTCTCCAGGCCCAGTGCAGTGCCAGAGAAACCTGCAGGGCAACAGCATTCTCATCCAGGTTTCAGTTAGAGCAAGAAGGGAAAAGGAGGGCTCAGAGAAGAGGTTGAGGATTTCATTTCATTCCATTTATTTATTTATTTATTATTTTTTTAAAGATTTTATTTATTTATTTAATTGACAGAGAGAGAGGGAACACAAGCAGGGGGAGTGGGAGAGGGAGAAGCACGCTTCCCACTGAGCAGGGAGCCCGATGCGGGACTCCATCCCAGGACCCCGGGATCATGACCTGAGCCGAAGGCAGTCGCTTAACCAACTGAGCCACCCAGGTGCCCCGAAGATTTCATTTATTAATAGTATTAATAAGCTGTACATTTGGGAAACTCTTGACTAATTTGGCATATCAAGAATGTTTTAGCCAAAATGGAAGAAGGCAAATAAAAGCAAGACGAGAAATTGGTGCTCTAATAAACAGTTCTTACTTTAAAATATTCATGAATTCTTAGGTAAAGTAAAAATGTAATCCTTTCCAATCCTGTTTCTTTGCCTGGGATACTCCCCCCACCCTCCCCACTTCCAGCCCCCACCTTGTCCTAGGGAAGGAATTAGGGAGAAAAATGAAAGATTTGAGAAAGGTGTGGAATTACTGATGGAGCAATATTTTTGCAGAAACAGAAGAGAATGAGATCCTGAGCACAAGTTGAGGTCAAGGTATGGAAGATAGTGGAGACAGAAGGGACTGACAAGGAAAAGGGAGAGAATTCAAAATTCTGGGAGATATAGATGAGGATCAGTATATGGGGATAAGGGCATGAGGTACCTGGAAAGATAAGGTTTTATTCAGGGAATTTAAGATTTCAGTTGTGGCATAGTTCCAGATAATGGCAGAAGTCCAAGATGTGGCTTTTGAATTGTGTGGCTGAAGCACAGTGGGGGAGATACTCATTGGAGTTAAGGAATTCAGAACGCAGCCTAGACCCTGGAGGATTCGATGGTTTGTCCACATGTGTACACATCCACATGGGTACTGCGCTCACTGGGTATGTTGGCAGGGACTGGGGCAGAGAAGGACCCAGGTGCCAAGCTTCTTGAATGAGTGGGGGGCGGTGCTGAGGAGATAGATGGCAACTGTGGTCAGGATAGAAGGTGGTCGACCTGGATAGTGGAGCCTCACAGGACTGTGGGTGTCCACGAGAAGAGAACAGTGAGATGGGTGAGGTCCAAGTTCTAGTATATTAGTGTCATTCTTACTTCGCTTCATCGCAGGTTCTTTCCTTTACTTCCTCTGTTCCTACTTATCCAATTATTTGTTGTAAGATTTTTAAAAATGAATAGCTTTAGTCACAGGAAATTACTAATTAATATGACCCTGTTGAATTTAACAGCTGATTTGCCTGATTTCTTTGTGGAGACTAATAAGATTGGTTTCCTGGGGTAGGAGGAGCTAGACATTCGAACACTGCAAACCAAAAATCGCAAGCTGGCAGAAATGCTGGATCAACGGCAGGCCATTGAAGATGAACTCCGTGAGCACATCGAAAAACTGGAACGAAGACAGGCCACCGATGACGCCTCGCTGCTGATTGTCAACCGGTACTGGAGTCAGGTAGCTCACTCGTTTATTTGCTCAGATTTTTATTTGAGCATTTTTGTTTGCCTTAGCACTCTCTTCATTTCCCAGGCTGTGTTTTGTTTTTTTCATAACCGTGCCCACCCTTCTCCAGTTTGATGAAAACATCCGTATCATCCTTAAACGTTACGATCTGGAGCAGGGTTTGGGAGATCTCCTCACGGAGAGAAAAGCCCTTGTCGTGCCGGAACCAGAACCAGACTCTGATAGTAATCAGGAACGGAAAGATGACCGAGAGAGAGGTGAGTATTTGTGGTGGATGCTACCACCACATGCCATGTGGGTTTTTGAAGTAGAGCTTTGCTTTCAGGATTTCCATTTGAGGAAAGAAAGAAGATTTTGGTATTTCCAGTTTTATAACGTTGACAGCTTCTTTTCCTCCCCCCCGTGTCCTCAGGGGAAGGGCAAGAGCCAGCCTTCTCTTTCCTTGCTACTCTGGCCAGCAGTTCCAGTGAAGAAATGGAGTCTCAGCTGCAGGAGCGTGTGGAGTCCTCCCGCCGAGCTGTGTCCCAGATTGTGACTGTCTATGATAAATTACAAGAAAAAGTAGAGCTCTTATCGCGGAAGCTGAACAGTGGAGGTGAGGCAAGAACCAGGAGACTGGGAGAAAAGGGGGAGGAATAAGAGCTCACCTTTGCATGCTAATTTGTAGTTGGCAGACTTATGTATTTATTTTTGATTACATTCCTTGGAATCCAATCTCCAGTATTACCGGTAATACCAGTAATGTCGTTGCTATGGCATGTTAATATTTTACAAGTGCTTCATATTTTGAGCCACATGACGGTCTTGTAAGAAGCTGAGGAAAGCCCCATTCTGATACTCTGTTAATTAAACACTTTTATAAGTAGCAAAATTAATTTTATTATTTAAGGAGTAGCTCTGTTTTTGGATATTATTTTAAATATTGGTAATTATATTTAAAAAATTTTGTTTATTAGATGTTGAACTTTGACTTCAAAGAGTCAGTTTTTTAAATTTAATTTTTTGTAAAGATTTTATTTATTTATTTGACAGAGAGAGACACAGCAAAAGAGGGAACACGAGCCTGGGGAGTGGGAGAGAGAGAAGCAGGCTTCCTGCCGAGCAGGGAGCCCAATGTGGGGCTCGATCCCAGGACCCTGGGATCATGACCTGAACTGAAGGCAGATAGATGCTTAACGACTGAGCCACCCAGGCGCCCCGAGTCAGTTTTTTTTTTAAAGATTTATTATTTTTCTTAATGATTTATTTATTTGAGATTGAGAGAGAATGAGCGAGAGAGCAAGAGAGCATGAGCAGGGAGAGGGGCAGAGAGAAGCAGGCTCCCTGTTGAGCAGGGAGCCCAACGCGGGACTCAATCCCAGGACCTTGGGATCATGACCTGAGCCAAAGGCAGACGCTTAACCAACTGAACTACCCAGGCACCCCTAAAGATAATTATTTATTTGAGAGAGAGCGTGGGGGGAGGGGTTGTGAAGGGCAGACGGAGAGGGAGAGAATCTTAAGCAGACTCCACGACCCGGGGCTCGATGTCACAACCCTGAGATCATGACCTGAGCTGAAATCAAGAGTCAGACACTTAACCGAATGAGCCACCCAGGCGTGCCCCCCCAAAGAGTCAGTTTTAATATGTTCTTGTTTTTTGTTTATCTGTTATCTCTAATATTTTCAGAAAGGGTTGGCTCAGATTTTAGAATTGTTAGATGGTCTCTGTGTTTAAAAAGATAAAAGAGGGGCGGCTGGGTAGCTCAGTCGGTTAAGCATCCAACTCCTGATTTTGGCTCAGGTCATGATCTCAGGTCATAAGATCGAGCCCTGCACTGGGCTTCGTGCTGGGCATGAGGCCTGCTTAAGATTCTTTCATTCCCTCTCCCTCTGCCCCTCTCCCCCTCAAAAAAATAAAAAGATAAAAGAAAATATTACACGGATGGAGAAGTGTCTATTTGAAATAATTATGTTACTAGTCAGTGTTAATGGAGAAATTTAAGCTTTTACAGTATAGTAAAGTATTTGTGTAGCTAGGTTGCATCTTCTTAAATGCCCTGATTTCACATTTTTAATAATCATGGTCTAGTTGTAATACCATAATTTCTCTGATTATTATTAAGATGTTTAACCTTTCGGGGTGCCTGGCTGGCTTAGTAGAGCATGTGACTCTTGATCTCAGGGTTGTGAGTTCAAGTCCCACATTCAGCCTGGAGCCTACTTAAAAGGAAAGATGTTTAACCTTTCATTTCTGAAAGTAGTATGTTGGATGTAATGAACCATTGGGCGGGCAAATAAGAATTTTTATATTATTTTTATTAAGATTTTATTTATTTATTTGAGAAAGAGAGAGAGCATGAGAGGGGGGAGGGTCAGAGGGAGAAGCAGATTCCCTGCTGAGCGGGGAGCCCAATGTGGGACTCGATCCCAGGACTCCAGGATCATGACCTGAGCAAAAGGCAGACGCTTAACCAACTGAGCCACCCAGGCACTCTCTGTAATTTTTTTTTTTTTTAAGATTTTATTTATTTGAGAGAGAGCACGAGAGGGGGGAGGGTCAGAGGGAGAAGCAGACTCCCTGCTGAGCAGGGAACCTGATGCAGGACTCGATCCCGGGACTCCAGGATCATGACCTGAGCTGAAGGCAGTCGCTTAACCAACTGAGCCACCCAGGCACCCCTGTAATTTTTTTTTTTAATATTTTATTTATTTATTTGAGAGAGAGGGAGAGTGAGCAAGAGAGAAAGAGAAGGTGCGCATAAGCAGGGGGAGAGGGAGAAGCAGACTCCCTGCTGAGCAGGGAGCCCGATGCAGGACTCGATCCCGGGACTCCAGGATCATGACCTGAGCCGAAGGCAGACGCTTAACCAACTGAGCCACCCAGGCGCTCCTACTCTAATTTTTTTTAAGGATACTTGGGCTAAATTATCAACAGAATTAGAAGATGAGGGATGTAAAAGACTTGTGAAAATTTGATGGGAAAGGGTTTCTTTTGCTTTTGCATAAGTGTATTAGCATATTTGTGTATTTAATTATTTGGATACCAGTTTTAGAATATATAAATCAGAGATAGATAAAAGTAGACTATAAAAGTCCTCCCATCCCACTTCTCAAAGATAACCATTTTGTAAGCAGTGTGGTTTGTGTCCTCCCAGACTTTTGTATTCATATATTACATCCACTTATGGGTTAGCTAATCTCTGTATCTGGTATCTAGTGCATGCTTAATTATGGTGAATGAGTGGCTATAAATCCTCCCTATCACCTAATGTAAACTGAGCTGGGTGTTACTTCTTTCTCCCTTGGCTATACTGGAACAGTTGGATGATATGGTTAAATTCTAGTAATATGCTGCATGGATAAACCATATGCATATTATATGCAGATAATATGCCATCTGCAGAGGTTATGCCAGTGTTAAACTTGATTTTATAAATGAATATCCAGTAAAATAATTGGTATATTTAAAAAGGAACTGAAATGGGTGGTATACTGAATAGTATTTTAAAATTATTTTTGATGGCATGCATTTTAACAGGTTAGAGTTTAAGTTCAAAAATAAATACATTATGAGTTACAAATCACTGAGTTATTTTTTTATAGCATAAAAGGCAATTGCCGTTGATAAGCTGAACTTGTTAAGAGATAAAGATCTATAAAGTATGAATTGTAGCATCAACTATACTTTTTTGGCAGTTCATTTTTTCCCCATGTTTATTTTATCCTTGATTCAAAAGAATTGCATTTATCAGCTTGTTTATTAATTCAGTAAGTATTTATTGAGCTCTTATTGTATTCTAGGCCTCTGAGTATCTCAGGACATTAAAAAGACTAAAATTCAGCTCCTAGTTCTTAACTTGAGTTATGAACCAGAATCACTTTGAGAGCTTCCGGAGCATATGTTTTTTTGGCCTTGCCCATGGGTGGTATTATTTAGTAGGTGTGGGACGGGTCCTAGGGAAGTGTCTAATCTTAAAGTTCCACAAATGATTCTGCAGGCAATCCTGGTTAAAAACCACAAAAACCACCACATGACCAACCTATTCTGTATGGTGTTTCTGAGTGATGCCAAGGGGTAGTAGGAGAGCCCACAATTCTTCCTCCTGATAACTCTCTCCAGGGCACTATATATCCTGAGAGTACCTGGTTTCACTTGCTAACATTTGGATTTGAGCTATTATATTTGTGACTCTAGTTTTAACTTGGTGTAATAAGTTCTGTAAATTTATCTCCTTTCTTTGTAAATTATAGTGTACATTTTGGCTTTTGAGCTTCAGGAGTGCCCCTAGCATCATATTCCAGAATATGTTAAGTAATTGAAGGCTCTTATCTTTATCCTTTGTGATTTTATAGGTGCTCATTTGAACAAGGAAATTTCTGCCCCTTTGCACCCCCCTTCTCTCTTTCAACAGAGAGATGCTTCATGTTGCTGTTAGTGAATAATAGGAATTTGTGATAGCTTTTTTTTTTTTTAAAGATTTTATTTATTTATTTGACAGAGAGAGACACGCGAGAGAGGGAACACAAGTAGGGGGAATGGGAGAGGGAGAAGCAGGCTTCCCGCGGAGCAGGGAGCCCAATACGGGGCTCGATCCCAGGACCCTGAGATCATGACCTGAGCCGAAGGCAGACGCTTAACCGACTGAGCCACCCAGGCGCCCCTGTGATAGCTTTTTGAAATAGAATGTTATTGCTATGAAGTCTGACACTGATGAGAGATACCTCTGCCTTGTCTACAATTTTAAAATGCATTTTTTGGGTGATTGTGCCTTATCCAAATAAAGTTACAGAACCTCCATTTCTTTTCTCACTACATTTTGACTTTGTGGAAAGGGATGGGTGTTAGGTGACCTTGGCTCTGTGTCATCCTCTCCTGAAGCACAAGGTTGGCTCATCTCTTTAAGCAAGTCAGCTAAGGTCTGGGTACTGAATCAGTCACGTGAGGATAATAAAAACCAGCCTACTTCTTGAAGGTTTTCAGGAGAATAAAGTGACATAGCATGTTAATATTTTGGTGGGAGGTGCAGTTTTAAAACTGGACACTATAGATGCTAAACTAAAGTGCAGTTCTTCTCTCTCAGATCATCTGATAGTGGAGGAGGCGGTGCAGGAGCTGAATTCCTTCCTTGGACAGGAGAACATGAGGCTACAGGAATTGACAGACCTCCTTCAGGAGAAGCATCGCACCATGTCTCAGGAGGTACTTGATCCGAAAGGAGAGATACTACTTTCTAGTGGTCTGTGGCACTGGAATAGACTCAGAATTTTGAATGCTTTGAGGATCATCTGACTATAGAAAGCCTGTTTTTATATTGAAGAGCATGCAGGGCAGGCTAAAGCAGCCAGGTCTGAGAAATCAAAATCTGAGGAAAGGTTAAGGGGAAAAAAAAAAATCAAATGTTTCTCCTAGACTTGTGCCTCTGTTAAATAGAAAACTTTACGGTGTTAGTTTTTAGGAAGAAATACCATCATGTGGGGTTTTGTGAAACAACACACCAATCCCCCAAATGATGAATTACCCCAAATATAAAATACCATGCACAATATTACTGAGGAATGGGTTGGTAGAAATTCATCTGAGAAAGGGACAGTAGGAACTATTGTATTGATGATGGCCTGGGAACTTGAGGAATATGGGTTTTCAGCCCACACTTGGGCATAAATAGTACCATGACTAAATCATGTCAGGACTCGGGTACTTATTTATTTATATACAGTGATTGAGATAAAGTGATAATAGGCCTTTAAGATTTTTCTGACACACCTGATTATCATTTCAGTTTAGTTGAAAGGATATTGTGCTGAAATTTGACATACTTTAGTTAGTAGTTACCATCTACTTAGTGCCTAGCACTTCGGTACTTGATGAGTATCATCTCTAATGGTCAAACAATTCCCATCTTACTGCCAAGGGAGCAGATTCAAGGAGGTTGGTAACTGGTCTGAACACACAGCCAGCAAGTGATTGAACTGTGATTTGAATGTAGGTGTTTTACTTCAAAGCCCACGTTCTTCATTATGCTCTTGTTTTGTAAACTCGAGTGCCAAGGTCCATGCTGGCTGTTTCCATGAGAATCTTCTGGGAAGTTTATTAATGTGTAGAGTATAGCAGTGCTTATAAATAGATCGGAGTGTATTGAAAAATAGAATAACTTTCTGTCACGTTTGAGACATTAATTAGGTGCGACCAGGGTGAGAAGGTTCACCTCTTCTGGCCCTTTCCCAAATCTCATGTAGCATTACTAACCCTGGAGAGAGACATTGCTTTGCTCAGCTGAGCTGACGTCCACCATGGCTTTTGTGGCTGGCTGTTGATGTCGCCTGTCAGCTGGGTGGGAGCTCCCCTTCGGTTGTCCACTGGAACGCCTGCATGTCGCCTCTCCAGCATGGCAGTTTCAGGATAATTGGGCTTCTAACATGGCAGCTGGCTTCTTCCAGAGAATGAATGTCCCAAGAACAGCAGGTAGAACCTGCATGGCCTTTCAGACATAACCTCCAAGTTATGTAGCATCATTTCCATTGGGTCACTAAAGTTGACCCAGATTCAAGAGGAGGGGACAGTGCCACCACCTCTTGATGGGAGGACTACCAAAGATTTTGGGGGCCATTTTTTAAAACCAACACAAAGGGTATATATAGATTAATGTGAACATGTAACAGTTTTGTAATTAGAGTTTTCATGATTTTATTTTTACACTCATGCATTGGGAAGAAGGTGAAGCAACTTCTATTTAAATTTTGTCTACAATGATACATAAGCAAGGGTTAATTTTGTGAGATTTGGGATGTAAGATAGTGATGGAAGGTATTGCTTTTCTCACTCTTTTTTTGGCTTTCTTTTTCTGGATGCCTGTCTTTGGGATGTAGTTCTCCAAGTTGCAGAGTAAAGTGGAGACAGCTGAGTCACGAGTGTCTGTCCTTGAGTCCATGATCGATGACCTGCAGTGGGATATTGACAAAATTCGGAAGAGGGAACAGCGACTCAACCGACACTTAGCAGAAGTCCTAGAACGGGCAAGTGCTGTTTCATTCACGGTTTAGAGGCTAGAGTCCTTTTTAAGGAGTTTACTCAGAAAGGACGGACCTGGGTAGTAGTACCTGGGGACAAAATGGACTCTTGAAAGTACTTTGGTTATCAGACTAAAATCTTCGGCTTTCCTCTCACTAAAGAATCTCTGTCCCTCCTTTAGGTGAATTCAAAAGGCTATAAGGTATATGGAGCGGGGAGCAGTTTGTATGGTGGCACAATCACCATCAATGCCCGGAAGGTAAAGTCCGGCACTCGCTCGGGACACGTCTTTGACCTCATGTCAGCTGTCGTGCTCGGTACTGAGGAGTTCACAGGTGGCAGGGTGGGGTTGTGCTAGAAGAATGGGAAGGTGAGGTGGAAGCTTAGGAATGGCAACGACTTAAGAATTCTTTCTTTATGCTCATCTTGCTATTTTCCTGCTTCTCTCCAGTTTGAGGAAATGAATGCAGAGCTTGAGGAGAATAAAGAGCTGGCTCAGAACCGTCACTGTGAGCTGGAGAAACTTCGGCAAGACCTGGAGGAGGTCACTACCCAAAATGAGAAGCTGAAGGTAGGAGAAACCTTTCTGAAGGGCCGTAAAATGAAACTTTTCACTGATCAACTCACATACATGCTGGTCGGCCCTCATAACTTATGAGGGAAAAGAAAAATGTGAGTTTTGTTGGTGTATCTATTTATTTACTTAATTATTTGTACTGTGCCTTGTTCTGAAAAGGATCTAAAACAACCTACAAAGACTGAATCAAGGTGCTTTAACTTAGGAATTGTTGAGAAAAATGAGTAGGGTAAACTGGGGTGATGATCCAAAATGGATTTTAAAAAATGGGGCTTGTGTACAAGATCTGTGCAGGGAATACATACATCCTGTAGCAGGGGAGGCTACTCACGTGTCAGGAGTTGCCAAATGTGGGTCATAGGATTTGGCTCTGCAGTTCCTACCTGCCAAAACAGAGAAAGAGACATGATCAGTGATGGTTCCTGTTGGTTTTCAAACCTGCCTGTTAGAATTTTCTCTCCCCAGGTTCTTGGGGGTGTGGGAAGAACATGGATTCTGAAAGTCTTCCTGCCCCTCTTTTGGTCATAGCCACATGTCTTTTTTTTTTTTTTTTTTTAAGATTTTATTTATTTATTTGACAGAGAGAGATACAGCAAGAAAGGGAACACAAGCAGGGGGAGTGGGAGAGGGAGAAGCAGGCTTCCCTCCCAGCAGGGAGCCGGATGCAGGGCTTGATCCCAGGACCCTGGGATCATGACCTGAGCCGAAGGCAGACGCTTAACGACTGAGCCACCCAGGTGCCCCGCCAAATGTCTTTTATAATTTGATTTGTTTCTAGGTAAATAAAGATGTTTGTACTGAAAAAAACAAAAAATAAAAAAAAAAACCCAACCTGAGTTAAATCAATTAAAGTGTTTGGGTAACTAAAGCAGATCGTTGCTTAAGAGAAGCATAACTATTTTTGATACAGTGTCAAAAATATATTTCTCTGTGACTGTTAATAAAAAGAACAAGTTAATGACGAGGGTCCTCGACTATGTTTTAAGAATTAAACATCTTGACAAATTTCATAGGGTTTTCTGTGTCCCCACATCTGACAAATTTCATAGGGCTCTTCTAGTGTCATTGGGTGTAGGTTGATACATAATGTAAAATACGTATCAATTAAACAGTTCTTGGGTGGAGAACACAGGTACCTGGTGTCACCTCTTTTTTTTTTTTTTTTTTCTTAAGATTTTATTTATTTATTTGAGAGAGAGAATGAAAGAGAGCACAAGAGCAGGGAGGGCCAGAGGGAGAAGCAGACTCCTGCCGAGCAGGGAGCCCGATGTGGGACTTGATCCTGGGACTCCAGGATCATGACCTGAGCCGAAGGCAGTCGCTTAACCAACTGAGCCACCCAGGCGCCCCTACCTGGTGTCACCTCTTGGCTGGTCAGATTTAATTTGATGTAGATTTTACAGAACTAGAAGAGTGGGCAGATATAATCCATAATCTTCATAAAGCTTGTCTTAATTCAGGACACCTGGGTGGCTCAGTCGGTTAAGTGTCTGCCTTCAACTCAGGTCATGATGCCAGGGTCCTTGGATTGAGTCCTGCATTGGGCTCCCTGCTCGGCAGGGATCCTGCTTTTCCTTCTGTCCGCTGCTCCCCTGCATGTGCGCTCTCTCTCTGACAAATAAATAAATCTTAAAAAACAAAAACAAAACAAAACAAAAAAAGCTTGTCTTAATTGCACAGGACATCACTGAGTTTAAGGTTTTATTCCCTGTCTGGCATCTAGGGCACAGACGCTAGCTTCTGCTTCTGACTCGTTTTTGGGCCCTCCTCAGGTGGAGCTGCGGAGCGCGGTGGAGGAGGCGGTTAAGGAGACCCCGGAGTACCGCTGTATGCAGTCACAGTTCTCCGTCCTGTACAATGAGAGCCTGCAGTTGAAAGCGCACTTGGATGAGGCTCGGACACTGCTTCATGGCACTAGGGGGACCCACCAGCGCCAAGTTGAGCTCATTGAGGTAACAGCCTCGCTTTGTCTTCTATATATGAGCTTTTCTGCCTTGTAAATTTTATAATTTTACCCTCTCATGAGCAATTATCGCTCATTTGATAAGCGTGTATGGAGTGGCCATACGTCTTTACTCTGCTGGATGGTGGGCATCCTGGCATCTGGGATCATACAGCTTAGCGGGGAGAGTAGTGACCATTAGAATGAGGTATGGGACAGCAGAGGCGTACCCAAAAGAGGCAGTAATAAAGGAGAGCATCTGATTTCCTGTGGAACCTTCCTGATAACCACTTGCCAGAGTAAAGTGTGAATCTTAAGTTTACTGGTAGAAAACGTAAATACAAGTTTTGTATAAATGCAGGTTTACTGGTAGACAAAATAGAAGGGCATTCTCAGCAGTGAGAAGAACAGATTTAGAAATAGTTTACTATGGCTGGAGCCTATGTGCATGGGCGAGAGTAGTGGGTAGAAGCTGCCGCACCGTTTATAAGCCATTATATGGGTCCGGGCAAATGTAAATACTTTTTTTTTTTTTAAGGCAAAAACTTTTATTCATGTGTTCACTTCTATACCTTCCATAGTCCTTAAGGTAATGTTTGTCATAGTTGGTCTTTTACTGTATGTCTGACAAATGAATTGAATTTAATATATCTTACCTTACAATGTTTATATCCCGTTTTATTGTTTGTACTCCTTGTAAATTATAACATTCTCACAGGAAGGGGCTATTTCCCCTATTTCTTTAATATCCTGCCAGTTTTCAAATCAGTTTTTCGTAGCTGCCTGGTGCTTATTATATATTGATTGAATTGGAACTTTTCAGAGTAATCCCTCTTAGTATTTCCTTTTTTTCTTCTTAGATCCTTATGGGTCAAAATTAGGAAACCTAGTAATAGAATATGATGATGTTTCCACATTTGGATAAGGATTTTTTTTTTTTTTTTAAAGATTTTATTAATTTATTTGAGAGACAGAGAGAATGAGAGACAGAGAGCATGAGAGGGAGGAGGGTCAGAGGGAGAAGCAGACTCCCTGCCAAGCAGGGAGCCCGATGCGGCACTCGATCCCGGGACTCCAGGATCATGACCTGAGCCGAAGGCAGTCGCTTAACCAACTGAGCCACCCAGGCGCCCTTGGATAAGAATTTTTGATTGGTTCCCTTTTTTGCATGTAGCGAGATGAAGTTAGTCTTCATAAGAAGCTGAGGACCGAAGTGATCCAGCTGGAAGATACACTGGCCCAGGTCCGCAAGGAGTATGAGATGCTGAGGATAGAATTTGAGCAGACCCTTGCCGCCAATGAGCAAGCAGGTATGATTATTCTTGCTTCACCCTGCAGCTTACTGCATATGCCTTCCTTAAACAATACCGTATGGTTACCTGGACTTGTTAGGATTAAGTGGAGCTCCGATGTCTTAAAGACCCTTAAACCAAATCCTGGAATTCATTTTGGCTCACAGCTTGGTGCTTGTTTTTCCCAACTCAGACTGGCCAGTTTTGTTTTCTTCTTGTGAGAAGGAATCTTTCTTTTGGTAATTTTCCCTGTTTCTCAGAGGTCCCTGATGTGTTCCGCACTTTCTCTCCTTGTGCCTTTGCCCTGGTCACAGTTCTTCGTAACATTGCTGTTGCTGTATTTAAGGCCCCATAAACCGGGAGATGCGCCACCTCATCAGTAGCCTCCAGAATCACAATCACCAGCTGAAAGGCGAGGTCCTGAGGTACAAGCGGAAATTGAGAGAAGCCCAGTCTGACCTGAACAAGGTAACCAGGACGGGTAGACTAAGTGCTGCTCTTCTGTTCGTGTAGCCGGGTTCGAGGGAGGCGAGCAGGGTGGTTGCTGTCAGTGATGCGCTTCCTTTCCCTCTTTGTCCCCCAGACCCGTCTGCGCAGCGGCACTGCCCTCCTGCAGTCTCAGTCCAGTACTGAGGACCCGAAGGATGAGCCTGCAGAACTGAAGCAAGATCCTGAGGACTTAGCTGCCCAGTCCTCTGCGTCAAAGGCATCTCAGGAAGAAGTCAATGAAATTAAGTCCAAACGGGATGAGGAAGAACGAGAACGAGAAAGGAGGGACAAAGAGAGGGAGAGAGAAAGAGAGCGGGAGAAGGAAAAGGAGAGGGAACGAGAGAAGCAGAAACTGAAAGAGTCAGAGAAAGAAAGAGACTCTGCTAAGGATAAAGAGAAAGGGAAACATGACGATGGAAGGAAAAAGGAAGCAGAAGTTATCAAACAATTGAAGATTGAACTCAAGTAAGAGCAGAATTTAGAGAAACTGTTTCTGACTCAGAAGCTGAGGTTAGGACATCATGCATGAACTGTTTGGTGGGTGGCATGACTTACAGACCATCTTAGTATCTTGGGTATAACTAAATGTACAATTAATTGTGCTCTCAATTTTTAATCAAGTGTGCAGTCAAAATGGCTTGTGCGGGCTCTCGCGTAGTCTGGTTCAGTGGTCAGGTCTCAGTAAGCCCTGAACTTATAGCCTTATTCTTCATGAATCCAAATTAAGGGACCAGGGTGTCATGATTTAAGCAATACTCATGAGAATTATTGAAATTAACTGCTGGCAGATTGCTGGCATGAACTATAATTTAAAATCATAATGGGTAGAGTTTGTATCAGCATAACTTGAACAACGTTGATCTGTTTGCCTAGCAGTTAACCAGTTTGTGTATGTATCAGATCATTTTAAGAGATGTCTTAGGAGGTTTATTCCTGCAGGCATGGAAATGGTAAGACAGACCTGTCGGTTAATGAAATACCAACATAATGTCACATACTGTGCCATTTTATAACTTTATGTTGGAGAACTTGGTCTGAAGGAGAAATGATTCCATTAGTTAGCTTGCTTTTCTATAGTTTCTGAGTATATCCACAAGTCTCCTGATGGTCCGTGAAGAAGTTTTCTTTTAGAGCTGTGCTGTAAGATGTACATGGAACTGTTGTAAATGATTTTGCTCAATTCCAAATTCCCTTGCTCTGATGTCCTGTGTTTTCTCGTTACACCCTTCCCTTCCCTCTACCACCCTCATCATAGGAAGGCACAAGAGAGCCAAAAGGAGATGAAACTATTGCTAGATATGTACCGCTCTGCCCCAAAGGAACAGAGAGACAAAGTTCAGCTGATGGCGGCTGAGAAGAAGTCTAAGGCAGAGGTAATGTCGTCTGCCATTACCTGTCATTCTGTTACAGTCTGCATTTATGGGATTTTCCTTCACATTTCTGAAGGATGTAGTTTCTTTCTTCATCTTTAAAGTTAGCATTTAAAACTCAGCAGCATTTTCTTCCCTTTCAGAGATCATCTAAAATAAAACAGATTTCTGTATTGTCCACTAGGTGGTAAGGTGTATCACAATTTCTGGGAATAGGAGTAACCTTTTCAGGCTTTTTATTCCCTCTTTCCCATTAACGCTTTTCCCATAAATCTTTGTTATAGTGAGTCACTTTTCTGATTACTTTTGGGAAGAATGTCATATTCTCTTACAATTTGGGGGCCTTAAAAAAAGGGTGAGAACCACTATCCTAAAGAGAGGTGCACGTGCACTCCTCACCAGCGTTGCTTATACAAGTGTGTCATGTGGGAATGGAGGGAAGTTAGAGCAGTGTGATGTGGCCTGCCAGTAAAGCGTTTCCCTTTCGAATTCTCTCAAGGTTCTTTGGTATTGTGGGCCCTCCATCTATACAGGATCAGTTGATTTTTGAAATTGTATTATAGCTTTTTCTTCTCATGCATATGATTCCTTACCTTCTCTAGTTGGAAGACCTAAGGCAAAGACTCAAGGATCTAGAGGATAAGGAGAAAAAGGAGAACAAGAAGATGGCTGATGAGGACGCCTTGAGGAAGATCCGGGCAGTTGAGGAGCAGATAGAGTACCTGCAGAAGAAGCTGGCCATGGCCAAGCAGGTGGGCACACTCTCTTTGTTTAGTTGGGTTTTTAAATAAATGTTACTTGACAAGTTATTGACAGTGCAGTGTGCTCTTTCATTCCAGTCTTTTTCTTTTTGTGAATATTTTTCTCCTATATGTACATTTGTTTTTAGAATGACGTCTTTCATTCTTTATTATTTTGTTTTATGTATTTGTGAGGCAGGAAATTTATTTTCAAATTGGGTAGCCAGTTGTTCAAACATTGTTTGTGGAGGGATCTATCCTTCCTCTGCTGATCTGGAATCAGGAGTGAGTCTAAATGGGGGAAAAATAAATAAATATAAAAATAAAAAAAATAAATATAAAAAAATATATATATAAGGTTTTATATACATTATGATTACAAATATACAAAACTGGGCGCCTGGGTGGCTCAGTCGTTAAGCGTCTGCCTTCAGCTCAGGTCATGGTCTGTAAAGACTTTTCTCCTCACAGTCTCCTCATAACACAAAATATAAGTCAAAATATTTTTAGGTACTGGGCACCTGGGTGTCTCAGTCGGTTTAGTGGCTGCCTTTGGCTTAGGTCATGATCCCAGAGTCCTGGGAATGAGGCCCATGTCGGGCTCCCTGCTCAGCGGGGAGTCTGCTTCTCCCTCTGCCTCTCCCCCCCCACTCGTTCTCTCAATCTTGCTCTCATGCTTTCTCAAATAAATAAATAAATAAAATCTTTAAAAAATACATATTTTTAGGTACTGATCTTCACCCATCAGATTGTTGTGCGGTACTGTTGGAAAGTCTGTAGTGAAATGTGGTATTACAGTTGTGGAACAGTGTGGGAAAATGGGAGGCTTTGTGATAGAAGTTCTCTTCACCAACTGCTGCTTGGTCAGTTTGCTGCATTGTGGTGTGTAGGGGTTCTGTTTACTCTGAATGTAAATCAGCGGAGCATCAGATCATCAGTGCCAGTGGCTTCAGATACTAAGGCTTCATTTGTATTCCTCGGGCTAAGCCAAGTGACAAAACTAAGCTGCTTAAAACGGAGTTTCTCTGTCACTAGGTTAATTTATTTCTGAATGAACACTGGGAAAGCTTAGTTTCCAGCGCTCGTTTCTTTGGAGTTAGAAGATTCTATTAAAATGAGGGTTCTTTCTCCGTATTTTAGGAGGAAGAGGCTCTCCTCTCGGAGATGGATGTTACAGGCCAGGCCTTTGAAGACATGCAAGAGCAAAATATCCGTTTAATGCAGCAGTTGCGGGAGAAGGATGATGCAAATTTCAAGCTCATGTCTGAGCGTATCAAGTCAAATCAGATCCACAAGTTACTTAAAGAAGAGAAGGAGGAGCTAGCTGACCAGGTTTTGACTCTAAAGACTCAGGTAATTTGAATAGAGCTTGCCAGAATTCTGTTGAAGTAGGGCACTTTCTACATGCGTTAAAGAATGATTATTGTGGCATTAAAAAAAAAAAAAACCCTGAAAATGTGTATTGTTAGCATTCTGGTATAAATGTATATTTTTAGCATTCTTTTAAACAAATTATACATCCCTGCAAAGAAGTACAGTTTAGCTGTTAAAACAAATATGGATCTGCTAGTATGGAAGATGTTATCATTATGTGATTTGTTTTATTATCCCTTTTATTTAAAAATGTGTACGTCTTTGTGTGTGTGCTGTGTAGTTTACAAATTTCTGGAAGGCTGCATGAGAAACAGAGTGGTTACCTGATTACCTCTGGATGTTGGGATGAGAGTCTGTGGGGGTGTGACTTGACTTTTTACCCTTTCATGGTGACTCCACTTTGTGTGTGAATTTCAAGAAAAAGACTGCTTTAGAACTTCTAACCATTCTGAGAGAGATACACATGGCCTTTGTTTGAGCTGTAATTTACATGGTCTAGTATGAACTGCCAGGCTTCGAGAATTAGTATGACTAAAAGGTGAATATCTGTAAATGTAATTCCTTTTGCTCTTGGCAATTTTGGAGAAGAATTTTCAGTGGTTTCTTAAACTCTTGCTTGAATCATCAACAATGATTTTTTTGGTTTTTTTTGTATGAAAAGGGAAGCTTTTAAGTATTGTGGTCTTGCATGTATTTTGAAGGGTTCATGGGTAAAGAGAGCGATGATTTGAGATTTCTAACAGACTCTTTTTGTGGGCCTATGGATTAACAGCACCTAGTCAGTTCATAGTTTTTTTTCTTTCCTGTTTGTGTTAAAGTATGATTTTTCTTTTTCAAAGGTTGATGCGCAGTTACAGGTAGTAAGGAAATTGGAAGAGAAGGAGCATCTCTTACAAAGCAACATTGGCACGGGGGAGAAGGAGCTGGGTCTTAGGACTCAAGCCTTAGAGATGAATAAACGCAAGGTAGGATTGCTTACTCTGTAATCTAAAGTTAGTCTCAGAGGAACAAATAAGTAGGACACGGATGAAATTAGAGGTTCACTTTCTTCCTTGGACCGGGTTAACGTTTTGCCTCCTTAGAAATAAGTGGACGCTATTTGTACATCCTGCCTAGGCGATGGAGGCAGCCCAGCTGGCAGATGACCTCAAAGCGCAACTGGAGTTGGCTCAGAAGAAGCTCCATGATTTTCAGGATGAGATCGTGGAGAACAGTGTCACCAAAGAAAAGGACATGTTCAATTTCAAACGAGCCCAGGCAAGAGCAATTGTGTTTTCTTTACATTTCACCTTTTACGTATGTTCTGAGCTCTGAAATGTTATGAAAGAGTCATTGGTCTGATGTGTGTCATCTCCTACTTGATTATAAGTTCCTTGAGTGAAGAGACCAAGTCTGTTTTCTTCACTGCCATATCCCCCAAAGCCTGTCACGGTGCCTACCAACCGGTGGGCATGAAATACATACTTATGAATTGAATGAATTGGTAAATTTATAAAGAAGTAGCAACATATCAAACTAGAGGATTTTAAAGTTCTATAGTGTTTCTATTTTTGGCATGTCCAGTGTTTCTCATGATGACTTTCTATCCTTATCCATACATCTGTAAATTATTTTAATCCACTCTACCTTCAGCTTGAAAGTAATTGCCTTAAAATAAAGTTGCTTATCAAATTTTTCATCTTTTTTTTTTAAATTCTTAGACTGTATTTTTACAGAACTGCATTGACAGTAGTTAGGTGCAACTCAGTTTGGTAATAGGATTATGGTTTTGTGCTCTGGAACAAAAGAAGGTATTTGCCATTCCAGTTCTCTGCATTCCTAAGAGATAATTGGCCGGGAGAGGACAGAAAGTCCTTTCTTTGCCGAGCAGAAAGTTCAAGTTGGAGCAATTTTTTTCCTCAGAATGGCAGGTCTGGGGGAGTGCGTCTAATGGGTATGCTCTCTTACCACAGGAGGACATCTCTCGGCTTCGAAGGAAGCTGGAGACCACAAAGAAACCAGACAATGTGCCCAAGTGTGATGAGATCCTGATGGAGGAGATTAAGGATTACAAGGTTAGGAAAACTGCCTCGGTGATTTCTTTGTGTTCTTTTTGTTCAGGCCTGAAGTGGCCTGCTGATAGACTGGGAGAATAAACACTGAACTTATTTACATGAAGGGAACCAGAGGATGGTTTCTTTTGGGCGGGGGTGGCACTCTTGTCTTCGTGCTTCGTGGGTTTCCTGCTCGTTTGCTTCCATATGATAGCCATTTAAACCTTTATGGTCGATCAGACTCTGACTTCTTTTTTTTTTTTTAGGCACGCCTGACCTGTCCATGTTGCAACATGCGTAAAAAGGACGCCGTACTGACCAAGTGTTTTCATGTTTTCTGCTTTGAGTGTGTGAAGACACGCTATGACACCCGTCAGCGCAAATGTCCCAAGTGTAACGCTGCGTTTGGTGCCAATGATTTCCATCGCATCTATATTGGTTGAGCCGAGCCAAGAGTAGAAGAGGGAGTGGCTAGACAGGCACTTCTTCATTAACCACCAAAACCTCTACCTCTTCTCTCCTTGACTGTCACCTACAGGGCAGTTTGTCTGCCAGTGACCTTTCCTTCACAGACTTTACGTCCAGGCTCTCCTCTCTAATAGCTAGATGATTTCAGGGAAAAGGACCGGTAAAGGCAAGTCTTGGGTTTAAGAATGAATTCGAAACAAACAACTCTCATTTGTCTTCCCCACCAGCTTATTTCTTTCCTGCTTTTAGATTTCCTAGCATTTTCTTCTTCAGGCTTACTATATAATCTTGGATTTCCATTCCTCCTGAAGAAGTAAATTGGTGTTTCTGACACAGAGAAGGGAGCAAAGAAGAGTGGAGACCTACGGCTGTTTTGGGGGGTGAGGAGGATCTTTTAGAAATAAGCTCTCTGTGGGCACAAACATTTCTTGATTTGGGTAGTAAACTTTTTGTAAAGTTGGATTATAAAATGGTATAATTGTGCCACTTTTTCCTGGATGGTTTGAAGCCTTAATGAAATTATGTCCAGGATGATTCAGTCCATTTTCTATTCCCTAACAAAGTAACTTGTTAAGGTCAGCTGGGTTCCATGTTGGAAGTTATTTAAGTTTTGAATGTCCTACTCATTAAAAAGTCTTTAAATTTCTTGAGGCCAGAATAATTTCAAATTTAGTTTTTATCTTACAATGAAATCAAGCTTGGGGAGGATGGGGAACAGGACTGAGATGATAAAGAGATCTTCTGGGTACTCTGGGAACTTGATACAGAGAGGCCTTAGTGAGCTATGAATTACTCTCATCTGCCTCTCTACAGGGATTGCTGTGATCCCTGTTTTCCGGAAGATTCTCTGTAATGTTTCTGTAGGACTTTATACTCCATAAGCTTCAATTAAAGCAGGATTCAGTTTGTTTTAGTGTTCGTGTTTTTCTTGGGCAGCAGGTGGTTTGGGTTGGGATATTTACTGTTTATGACATTTGGCTAAGAAAGCTGGCTGCCCAGCATCAGGGGACTGCAGCCTCTGGAATATTGTGGCAGAAAACCACTAGTCCCATGGGGAGCTGGATTTAGGGGAAGTTCCTCTAGTTGGGAAGAGCAGGGAGCCTCTAGTCCCAACTAGCTTGAAGTCCCAGCAACATAGCTCTTAGAGACATTTTGAGATAATTACCAAAAATGGTGATGATTTTTGGACAGTCTGGCTTCTTACTACAGAAGAGGCCAGTGAATGGGCTTCAGAAATACCCACAAATTGTATACAAAATTTTGTTTGTGTTGTATGTACTTTATTCATAGCTTTTTTCAGATTCTCAAAGGAAATTTGAAACCTCACAATCCTCCAAAAAAATCACAGCGCCTGTGTGGCTCCGTTGGTTAAGCATCTGATTCTTGATTTCGGCTCAGATCATGATCTCAGCATCCTGGGATCGCGCCCCACATCAGGCTCCTTGCTCAGTGGGGGGTCTGCTTGAGGATTCTCTCTCCCCCTCTCCCTCTGCTCCCCCCACGCACTCTCTGTCTCACTCTCTAAAATAAATAAATTTTTTTTTAAAGATTTATTTATTTATTTGACAGAGAGAAACACAGCGAGAGAGGGAACACAAGCAGGGGGAGTGGGGGAGGGAGAAGCAGACTCCCCGCTGAGCAGGGAGCCCGATGTGGGGCTTCATCCCAGGACCCTGAGATCATGACCTCCTGAGCTGAAGGCAGACGCTTAACCGACTGAGCCACCCAGGAGCCCCTATAATAAATCTTTAAGAAAAAAGAATCATTGTTTTAGATCCATAAGGAACTTTTTAGAAAATTTCTTTAATGCTTATATAGAATGCCAACTTCAAGGATTATTGGAGAAGTACTAGAGTCTTCCCTTTCTCTCTTTTTTTCAGGTCTTGAGGGGATGGTCTCTTTTTTCTTTATTTTGTTGTTATCTTGGAAATTGTCTTGGCAATTTGGACCAAAATCAGGGTTGATAATGCTTTAAGGCATATATCTTAACTACATGGTTGGCTTTTAAATTCTTACCTCCATAGGGATCTTTTTCAAGATCTCAGCTATTTCTGAAAGCTGTTGCATTCTTTTTTTTTTTTTTTTTTTTAAGATTTTATTTATTTGACAGAGAGAGACACAGCGAGAGAGGGAACACAAGCAGGGGGAGTTGGGAGAGGGAGAAGCAGGCTTCCCGCGGAGCAGAGAGCCTGATGTGGGGCTCGATCCCAGGACCCTGGGATCATAACCTGAGCTGAAGGCAGATGCTTAATGACTGAGCCACCCAGGCGCCCCAGCTGTTGCATTCTTATATGAATTCCCATTGGGATTCCTTGTTTGCTTTTTTAAATCTCTGTCCAGGTCCACAAGGCATCTTTGTTCTTCAAGGGCAGGAGTTCTGTGCACATAGTACTACGTACATGCCACTTGAGTGATGAATGTGATTTGATGTTGTGAGGATTCAAGTGGGCCCCATGGTGTAATGGTCAGCACTCCGGAGTCTGATATTGTGGGGTTTCATGGGAAGATTCTGGAGAATAGAGAAATGATCACTTGTCTTCTTTTAGACCTACTGGGATGGTGATGCTCGCTTCTTGAAGGAAGGTATATTCCACTCTCATCAGTTTCCATGATCATTTGTTGGTGTGGAATGCCTTTCAAATTTGGTCTTTAAGGTTTTTGCTGAGGATTATCAATTGATAGATAAACCCAAGTACCAGTGAGTATGCAGAGAAGTTTTAACTAGTTCTTACTACGAAAGTCTGCCTGATTCGACGTGATAAGACAGCTACATTGAGAGTAAGTAGAAACTGGTGGGTTGTGTACATGTTGGATTGGGTTTACATAATAGGAAACCTCTGGTATGGAAATAACCTAAACATTTCCTAGATCTGTAATTGTCCCACCACACAGAAATTGAGCTTTACTTTCTGGGAATTTCTCCCCAGATTTGGTCTCTTCCTAATGTTAGATATTAAGGTCTTATTTGTGGCATATATCACAGGTCCTAAAATTAGGACATAGAAAGAGCAGTGTCTTAACAACATAGTCCCCATTATCCATCAGGAGGCCTGGCCTACAGCACTCAGGGAAGGTCCGCATGGTTAAGTTAATTCAGCTCCTTGCTTCTGCTAACAGTTCCTCAGAAGTCTGCTTTATTGGACCAGTGTATAATTCAAACCTTACTCATTTTTTTCACCCCGTAAGTGGAAACAATTTTTCCTCATATATTGAAATAACCCTTCAAATTTGGATTATCCTGAAATATATAACTTTAAATTTCCTTTTGTGGTGATAACAAAGGAAATTATTATGAATTCTGAAACTGATAGCTCTGTTTGAGGCAATCCGTGATAGCTATGGCTTCTTTTATAGGTTTAGTCTTTTTTTTTTTTTTTTGAGGGAAATTGTGGACAAAGTTGGAAGCATAGTATATTTGCATTAATAGAGTAACACTATGAGGATTTCAGGTTACTGAAATCTATGGAGTGGAATGATTTGAAAGCTAGGATGTGGGAGCTAAAAGGGACCTCAAACCGTGTGCTTATTTTATTTTTTAAATTTTTTAATTTAAATTCAATTAGCCAACATATAGTACATCATTAGTTTTTGATGTAGTGTTCAGTGATTCATTAGGTGCATATAACACCCAGTGCTCATCACATCACTTGCCCTCCTTAATGCCCATCACCCAGTTACCCCATTCCCCCCCCCCCACCTCCCCTTCAGCAACCCTCAGTTTGTTTCCTAGAGTCAAGAGTCTGTCATGGTTTGTCTCCCTCTCTGGTTTCTTCCCATTCAGTTTTCCTCCCTTCCCCAATGGTCCTCCTCACTATTCCTAATGTTCCACATATGAGTGAAACCATGTGATAATTGTCTTTCTCTACTTGACTTACTTCCCTTAGCATAATACCATCCAGTTCCATCCACATTGATGTAAATGGTAGGTATTCATCCTTTCTGATGGCTGAGTAATATTCCATTGTATATATGAACCACATCTTTATCCATCCATCTGTTGAAGGGCATCTCAGCTTCTTCCACGGTTTGGCTATTGTGGACATTGCTGTTATGAACATTGGGGTGCATGTGCCCCTTCTTTTCACTACATCTGTATCTTTGGGATAAATACCTAGTAGGGCAATTGCTGGGTTGTAGGGTAGCTCTATTTTTAACTTCTTGAGGAACCTCCATCCTGTTTTCTGGAGTGGCTGCACCAGCTTTGTATTCCCCATGTCCTTATTTTAAAGATGAGGAAACAAGTCCCAGGGTCACTCAGTTTAGCAGCAGAATCATAATGTGGCAATCAGACCTCTGTTTTTTCTTTTACCCTAAGTGGAGACATGTACCAATAGAATGCATGTCATCAGGAAGATAATAAATGAAAATACTTGAGTCTTTTAAGTCTTTCTGAAGATTTCTAATTTATGTAGGCTCTCTGCCAGGCCCTAGATTAGGACTGCATATTCTTCCCCTATTCATTGAGTTCCCATAGCACTTTGTTCCAGAGTAGAACTGAACCAAAGGGATCTTAGATTTCTCCTTGCTCACCCAGCCCAGCCCTTTGATGCATTGTGATGCCAGGTGCTGTGCTAAACATGTTTCTCGTGAAGTCAGACTTAGGATGAGTATGGCCCTGCCTCTTACTAGGTTATTTCAGCTCTCTGTTTCAGTTTCTTAATCTATAAAATAATAACTACATTATAGAATTGTATTGAGGATGAAATGAGTCAATATACACAAAACATTTAGCAGAATGCCTGGCAACTAGTAAATGCTCAAAATACTAACTTGTATTGCAAATAAATTGAGAGGTCAATTTTTCTTCTACATTTTCTCCTTATTTCTAGGCAAAAAGAAGACTGACATATTTAGAATCTAGATTGTATGTGTTTATTTATGTCTCTCTCTAAGTCCACCTGTGCTGGTTAAATGATATCATGGCCAGGTCATGCCCAGGCATCAAAAAGTTAACTTCATTTGCTCACTGTCCTACAAACAAATAGAACGTATGTGAATGATAGCCAGTACCACCAAGCAGTGAGGACCCTGATCTTCTACTATAACCCTCTTTAGCCTAAGATCATTTAATGGTTCCTGTAGTCTTTGGGATACAAATCCGATTTAGCATAGGGATCTTGCCTCTGCTTTTCTCTTTGCAGTCCTTACAGCTTGTTACCCACCTGTGCTTTATTTTTCTGTCATACTGAGTTATCTGATGTTCCTACGTTTTTTGATTGTCATAGTTTCCCAACTCTGGAACTTAGCACATTCTGTTTGTTTTACCTGGGGTGCCTGTTAACCCTCCTCTTAGTTTCTCCACTGCGGGCGCGCAAGTGCACACACACACACGCACGCACGCACGCATGCAGAGGACAAGTGTCTTTTTCGCCTCCACAGTACCTGATACGCATTTATCAGAATATACGCCACATTGGTTTGCCAGTTTGTGTCTCCCTGCTGGACTGAGCTCCATGGGGTCAGAATCTTGCTTTTTCTCTTTCTCTCGCCAGCAGCTAGCCCAATGCCGGGCTCAAAATCAGCATCCAAACAAGGAGTGACTGATGCAAAACAACCTTGGGTAAGTTGGCAGTTGAGCTAGGTTACAGTAGGTGTGTATTTGTACGAGATTTGACCAATGTGTCCTGCTAGCAGCTTCACGCTTGCAAGGTGGCCAAGCAGCTGAAACTGCCGGGTGCGTCAGAAACCGCGGCGGGCCTGAGACCGCAGGACTGCTCAGGGATCCTCAGCTGCGTCTGTACCAGTTCTCGGGCCAGAAAGCCAAGAGAGACGCCTGCAACAGCTGTTTCTGTGAGACTTGGGGCCACAGTGTTGAGTTCAGTGGACGGGGCAAGGCAGGTGCAGTTTGTGCATCGGCTTCCTTCCCTGTGGAGCTGGGGGCCCAGCGAGGCATGGGCCGGAGCCGCGATGGCAGAAAGACTGAAGGGGGGGTTGGAGGAAGGAGAGGGGGTTGTAAGGCAGCGATCAGAATCCCGACAGTGTAAAATGGGTGTTCTGGAATTGCACTGCCTGTGTGTGAATCTGTCTTGGCCACTCCTCTTCCTAGCCGGGTGACCTTGGACAACTTCCATAATTCCCTGAGCCTTAGTCTTCCCATCTGTAAACTGGAGGTCTAGTTTATCTACTGTAGACTAGGTCTAGAGAACCTGTGTCATGGGGTTTTAATGAAGCTGGAATAAAATAAATGCTCAATAAATGTTAGCTACTATAGTATTGTCTATTGACAGGTTGTGAAAAGGACAGCTTGTGAGAAGGTCCCTGAGCTCAGAGACCACGCCCATCTTATTATTCACTATGTGTCTCCAGCACTTGGCACGTAAACACAGGCTGTGTAGCAGCTGGTTGTTGAATTACTAAATGAGGGTGGCCAGGGCAGAGTTTTTTAGAGCTCTCTCAGTATTGTGGCTTTTCCTAGAATGTCTTTCAGATGAAGCCATTTCGATTGAACTTTGTGATGCCTGGGCTCTGAGTTTTCTCAGCATATTTTGTGCCACGTCGACTCTACTAAGGAAACAAGTATAAATCCTAGCATGAGTGGGTCTCCTGTGAGGAAGGGACTGGTACCATGTCCACATTTGAATCCCCCAAGACAATGCCAGCAGTACATCAGAAAATGAAGTTTCTATCTGAACATTTATTCCACAGTCATAGAAACTGAAGATGGAAAAGACCTGAGAACATCTAGTCCATCCACGTGGTTGTACAAGAAAAGTGGCTGGAGCAAAACAGCCTATTCACTTCATGCTCACAAGACAGCATTTCAGTTCTTCCTGGACTGGAGCGATTGCACACACGTTAAAATGAAGACACAATGCAAACACTCTTTACAAACCTTAAGAAAATACCTCTAAGTACATTATTTTCATAAAACGATTGGGAACAAAACGAAAAAGAGTGAGGGACTCCTGGATTAGATGGGTGGCGTAGGTAGGTGAAGAAAGGAATAACTCAACAGTGCAGCTAGTGGAGTGGTTTTGATGACTAAAACACAAGTTCTTTCCATGACTGGTTGGATTTTCTGGTTTGCTTATCAAAAATGAGTTGGGAGGAGAGAGGCTCTAAAGTAGTTTCTTTCTTTCGCCTTCATTCTTTATCCATACCAAGGAAGTGCTTATTAGCTCCAAGGCCCTATTAGACCCAACACCGAGAAGCCCACTGCCCCGATGTAGCCGGGTTTTACTTGGCAGTTGCTTCACTGACCACTTCCCTGGTCGGCACGGAAGCAGCTCCTGCAGAGGGTTTGTGCAACAGTAAGAACCACGAATGATGGAGTCACCTCCAGGCACGTTAAAGACCTCAACTGATTGTGTCCCTGTGGCTGCCTCACTTGGCTGTCCCATTTTTCCAACTCGTCTTTAATAGTTGGAGGGATCCCCTTGCTGCTCCTCTACCTTGAGGCCTCCGCACTCTGGGGCCCTCAGTATTATTTACATGAAGCACATAGCCTATCTGTTCCTGCTCACCCGCCATATTGTATTGTGTGCTTCCTGTGCCAGGAACTTCCCCTTGGAAAACGGGGTGGGATGTGCGACACAGTCAGGTTGTCCGGCTGCCCAGCACCAGAGCTTGGAAAAGAATGGACTTCCTCATCTCATGAAATAGGAGCCCGGACGAGGAGGCAAGGGAGCAATCCCTTACCTCTTTCTTCCTCCCTAAAATACCATCCTCCACCTGAAGACCTTGATCTTTGTGGTTTTTGAGCCCGAGGGGAGTTGAAAGGACAGGTGGAGCAGAACAGAAAGGAGGGTTTTCAAAGGACCCACCATCTCATGAACTCTTTTTATAAAACACAACACACTTTCACAGACTGCAAAACACTGTTCAGTTACTACCGATAACGACAACCACCACTACTTGGGACCGCTTCGTTCCACCACAAGCAGCTATGCGGTTCGTCTTCATCCAGAACACGGAGGCATTTCAAGCGATGCGGACGGCAGCAAGCCTGCTTTCAGCCCCTGCTGCTGCTGGCCAGCCCCTGGCCATCCACTTTGTGGGTAGGCAGGGCCGTGTGGCTGCTACCACCGCTTAGAACGCCTCAGGAGAGAAGCTTAAGGTAAACCCCTTAAGCACACAATACAAAAATCCAAACTTACAAAACAGATACGTTAAGGGAGAATTAATTGCATTACAAAAGGATTCTTTACAAAAGAATTCACCTCTGGGTTCCTTTAAATAGCCAGCTTCTCAAGAACAGTCAGGAGGAGCTGAGTTAGAAAAGGGCCCGAGTCCGTGAGGAGCATGGCTGGCTCGTCGTCGGGAGGTGCCCCGGCTCATCGGGCCGCGCAGAGCAGGACGGCAGGTGCTGCGGCGTCCTCGGCTCCTGCAGACGGGTGGGGGCGGCTACGAGGCAATGTCTTCCAAAGGCAGGTGCAAATCTACGTCGGGGCCTGGGGGAGAACACGGGAGGACAGGGCATTTCAAAGCAGGGCTGTCCTTTCTGTTTCCTGGGCTCCCCCTGTTTCCTCACTGTTTCATCTGCGAGGTGGATGAAGTCTAACTAGAAGCTTCTTACCTCCCTCATCAGTCTCTCTGTGCCTCCATCCACCCCAGGGTTTTCTCAGACAAAAACAACTAAAGTGTTACTAATTACAGCCGAAGGTGGTGTCTCTCCCTGCGGACTGGGTAGCTCCTGGTGGAAATGCAGGGGAAATTTTGTGATTGCGGAGCCTTTCCAGGGATGTGCAGCTGTTACAGAGCACAGTGCTTGGGACAGTGCCGTGAATTCGTGCTGGGCATCCTGACAGATGAGGCCGGAGCTCAGTAAGTGAGAACCGAGCGAGTCTCGTCCCAAGTGGTGCCCAGGGGTGGGAGCGGCTGTTTGGAAGGTGAATCAGCAGCTGTGTGCTACAATGTAAAAACCTCTCAAAAGGCTCTTCTCCCCAGGCCGGGAGCAGCCATCCTTCTAGAACAGTGTTTCTCGAAGAGTACTTTTTGGAATACGCGTGTCAGTCACCTGGGGGAGTTGGTTAACAGGTTTCTGAGCCAGACTCCCCACCTCACCCTATCTTCCGGGGAAAAAGGCCCTGTCGGTCAGCATTCTAATGGGTTCCTAGATGCCTCGCATCTACACTAGCACTGGGAACTGGTGTTCCATAGTTCCCCGTGACTTTTCCTTCCTGCATGCACGTCCACGCCACTGCACCCGGGACAGGGATGTCTGGGATCAGGAAGCCAGGTTACTGATAATCAGTTCCTTGGGGGCATCAGAGGGGGCCTGGGAGAGAACGGGAGGGACCACACCTGGTCTCAGCCCCTCAGGGAGGAGTAGGTGTGGGGCTGGGAGACTCGCGTGCTAGTTACCTGTACAGAGATGGACCGCACAGGGCACCGTCCCATATGTTAAAGCTTGTGGTGTTTGCAGGGGGGTCCGCTTTAGGAATGCCTAAAGCTAAGAGGCAACTGCCGATTTGAGAACGGGCTAGTGTGTGGCTTGCTGAGCCTTTTCACTTAACCCACAGAACCAGCTTGCATGCCCCGTGCGGGCAATAAGCAGGGGTAGTCCAGTTTCATCTAAGGCCATGTCCTTGCTTTGCTTTGCTTTCCTTTATAAAAGGCACACTCTGTAGTGGAGATGCGTAGTTAGATTCGAAGTATTGTCGTATTCCTTCCTTAGCCAAATTGTTTTTCTGGCCCAGAGCTTTTGTTCTCAACATGGTGTACATTTTTAATGCCTCTTCTGCCTGTCTTATTCCCGCTCACCACATCCCTGTCCCCTTTCATCGTGGCACGTAAGCTGTTCCTAATGCTGGTCAGGATGGTGTTGGAGACACGGGACCCTCTCAAAAACAGGGCTCCTGCTTGATCCGGTCAATCCTTGGTCTGCTGTGATGCTAGAGTTCGCTTAATTGTTTGCATACCCACACCCCTGGCTCTTATCTGGCTCCCCGTTCAGAATGCAGGAACAAATCTAGTTGGGGGAGTTGTATCAAAAGCCACAACCCTGGATAATCCTGTTCTATGCTAAGATTAAAACCACATATGAGTAACATTTTATCTCGTTGGTGAGAGTGCAGAGAAAGGGCTAAAACCCAGAACTACTAGTATGGTACCCAATGAGGAGCTGGGGTTGCCTGGTCATTCATAGATCCTTTCCACGGAGTTTACTCCTAATTTACCATCACTGCTCTGAAAGACCCCTACCCTGGAGAGCTAGGGAGTCAGCTTGGGAAGAGCTGTGGCTGATTTTTAGGCTAGGATGGGCAGACTTGACCTCTAAGAGAGACCTAGACCTCCGCTTCCCCACATTTTTGTCAGTAGTTACAAAAGAGCATTACAAAGTGTCTCAAGGGCTCAGAGGAATTCGGGAACTGGGAAGGGGAGCAGCATGGTCATCTAGGACTCACAAGTCCGGTTTGTCCTTTGATACTCTTCCAGCTCCGTTTTCCTGCTCACAGCCAGCTGCAGCTCCTGACGGATCACCTGAATCTGCTTCTCGAGCTCTGAGAGTTCCTGCATCACTGAGTTCCGAGCTCCATTTAGGGAGTCTGCCTTCCCGTTGGTGGTCAGCGAGGCAGGGAGCTCTCTTCTCCTTGGAGGGAGTGGGATGTCTTGGTGGGTCCGGATGCTCAGCTGGTTTTGTCCTCCCTCATCACTAAAGATGTATTTTCGTCGGTTATCCTGACTCAGATTGGAAGTATTCCACACAGTGAGCTGACGGGGCCCCACACTGGCCCTAGGAAACAAAGACATTTTAGATTTACCTTCCATTCTGCGGCTCTCAAAGTGTTGCTCCCCAGCTGTTGGCCATTTCAAACTGTGAATATGGAGCTGGACATGCATTCAGAAGACAGATTGCCACGGACAGACTGCCTGCTGGAGTGGCACAGGGACAAAAAGAGCCATTACAATGCTTTTCAACTGAAGTTCTTACCAAGTCTCAAGCTGCCCTGAAATTGGAATGGATGTATCATCTGGAGGGCTGATAGACCAGGGAGTGGCGTATTCTTTTTTGAAGAACCCTGGATGTCTTTCCACTCCCATCCTGCCAGCGAGGCTCAGAGCACAGCACCGGCTTGAAAGAGTCTCTGGCTACAAAGATGGCGCTTTAGTAAAAAAGTGAGAGCCTATTTGTTCACCTGTTGGGCTCTAAGCATAAGCCGGCTGGTAGAGACTATAAAATGGCTCATGCTCAGTCCCACAGGACTACCCTGAAGTTTACTACTTGAGTTTGAGGAGAATAAAAACATACAAGCTGCAGGTTTCAGCAAAAAGTTTTCCATTATAGGGATGATTTTATGTGGGTCGAGAATGACAGCTCAGTTCTGAAGCTTTAAAAGAAACCCCAAGAAAGCCTCAAATTCTTGCTGGAATAATGAAAGTCAATGGAAACAGATTCACAGTCCTCTTTCAGGCTTGCGTCAAACCACCTGCCACCATGTCAGGGAGATGGCTGTAGAGAGCAAGACTTACTGCCGGGCGGGCACAAGAGGAGGGGATTTGGTGCCTGAAAGGAACTCTGACAGTCAGATGTAATGAGGAGAGTTTCTTGCTACAAGAACAGACTAGAGCCCCAAGCAGCATAGCTGCGGATTTCTTCTAGCCTTGTTGGAGGAGAAGGAGGGTTATGACCGCTTTTGCAATCCACCACAGGGCAAACCTACATAGAAACACTCTATTAAGTCCTTGTGTTTCTGTTCCCATCCATGTCACTGAATCAAGACTTTATTTCTGGACTCTTTCTTTCCGGGGAAGGGGAGGGACAGAGGGAGGGCTAATAAAGTTTCTTCCTCCTTTCCACCCATGTCCCTCAGTAATGTGACTTTGCAGCTCACCTTTATCAAGGAGGATTCAAGGGAAGAAAGTCTGGCTTTCCCTCCCCCTGGAATTTAGTCTGGTTTCCTGACTTGTTTTGGCCAAACTAGCAGAAATGGCAGGTGGCCGTTCCACGCCTAAACTTTGAAGAAGCCTTGTGCAGGTCCCCTGAGGGTCTCTCTCAGAACCCTGCTGCTGCAATGTGAATGAGTCCACACTAGTCTGCTGATGATAACAGTGTGGAGAGAGTCCCCAGTCTTCCCAGTGGACCCAGCTGAGGCCATAGACCAGCCAGCCCTTAGCTGCTTTCCTCTTCCCCACAAGCTGGCTGCAGACATATAAGCAAATCCAGCCAAGATCAGCCAAGTCCGGCCCAGACCAGCAAATCGCACAGCTGACCCACAGATTGCTAACTTGCTGTTGTTTAAAATAATTAAGTCACTGAGATAATTTTCTCACACAGCAAAAACTAAGATACATGCCCCAAGCCATTAAAACACACATTCCAAACTCCCCTGCAGTTCCTTTACGTTTCTCAGTTTCAGTGGCATATAATGAGCAGGTGGCAACACAGCTTAGCTTTCATGTGTCCTGGGCTTAGTAAGAGTCTACAATGACTCTTTCAACTGAAGTTCTGCTGGCTTTAAACCTGGGTCAGGGGGGCAGTTACAATTTTACTTTGAGCTGTACAGTTCCCTTTAAGTTTTCCTTCAAATCCCTCCCAATTGAGTTTGAAAAATTTCAAGACAATCTTGTTTGTGTGTGTTATACCGTTTATAATTTTTGTATATCTTGGGGCAAGGGTGTATTGGAAACCCAGTGGGATGAAGACCAAAACTTACATGAAATCCCAGGTTGAATAAATCGAAGACTATGCATAATGTCTTGCAATATCTACTTTTTCCCTCTGCTTTAAATAGAAAAGGAGTAACATCTACTTTTGTATCATGGCCCAGAACTTCTTTATGCCTTTCCTCAAATCCACATGTTAAGAATTTGTTCATCTATCTTTTTTTTAGCTCAAAGAAATCTTTATTCTCCAGCAGGTGCACACACATCCACCATCCCTGGTCCTCAGGGCCACACTCATCTGCATTCACCCACTTATCTATTGTTTTATTCATTCTATAAATATGGAGCACGCTGGAGGAATGCCGAATTGTAGCAGACATAGGCATTTGCATAGATACTCTTCCAAAAAAAACGGGAAAGAGTTTTCAACCCAGCAGACCTAACTGTAGTACCATAGAATGATTCAGAGGGAGCACCTGGGAGTAGGGCATCTGCACATTTTCCTGGCACCCAGGCAACCACAGAAATCAGATTAAGTAGAGCTAACCGATCTGGTTTTCTCCAGAGCTTTGTACACATATCTGGGAATAGAATACAGAAGCAGAAGCAGAAGCTGGATTCCATGACAGACTCAAGTTGCTAGCATAACAAGTGTCCCAGTAATCGACATGTGACTCTGGGCCACCTGTGAATAGAATATGACAGATACTGATGTCAGATCTGATGTCTAATTGGAGGCCTCTTCAGTGTTTCGTTCTGTTTTCTATCGAACCTTCCTCAGCCTTAGCGTGTAAGATGACCAGTAGGTGAACGGTGTCTGGCACTAAAAGTGAGCAAAATGAGCTTCCACAGATCAATTCTGTAACCTCGGAATTCAATGCTCCACTATTGCCTTCAGAAGAGACATGACAGCTGTGGGGCCTCAAACACTCACTGCATTTGAAAGGTCACAGCTGGGTGCTGGGCTGCAGGGAGGTGGCACAGGAAGTGTGGGCCCAGCATAAGCCAGGAGGGCAGGTTCTGCCTTAGCTCCTTCTCAAAATAAGGGGCTCCAGAAGGGAATCTGCCAAGAAAAGTGGACATAATGAGTGAAAGACACATTTGGTTCTCAGCGGAGGTGAGAGAGATGTGACTAGGAACCACATCACAGTTGGAAATGGGATCACTGGGCTCCCTGTTCCTATTACAGATGGTAAACACATGCTTTGTCATGAGACACTGTCTTCACCACTATGTCTTCTTGCGTTCCTCTGGTTAAAAAATAATTACAGAAAAAATAGACGTAACATGACATAGAACAGCTGTGACCTGATTAGTCTCCAGCTTGTCACCGACAGGGCTGCAACATGATGCAGGAATACCACAGCCTGAGAGGGCAGGAGGTGCTCACCGACTGGAAAGAGAGGCTTCCAGAGAGAACGGAAATGATGCTGACAAGCTAGATGCAAACTGGGGACAGGGGGCCAGCAGCAGTCCCAGAGGAGGTATAAACAATGAAAAAGAATGATGCTTTTCACCCCCTTTTCCCTTTTCCTCTATCATGAGTGAGAAGTGTGAGCGGCAGATTTCAAAATTACCCAGAAAGCCAAGCTTTGAGCTGAAGATCTGCCACCGGTGAGAGTTGCTCCTGAACAGAGGCCTCTGGGCCCGAGAAAGGAGGAGGGCCGCCCCAGGGAGCAGGCTGCCAAGGCCAGCCAGGAGCCAGACGGAACGCGGCCGGCATCTTTAGCCACCAGTCACCCACGGGCTGCACGCGGGGAAGGGGTCCTCCAGGCATTTAATGCTTGGTACTCCCTATCGCTGGGAGGCTTTTCTGGTGAGTCTGTAGTAAGAATGCCAGGAAATAGATGAAGCAGAACACGTCCGCTGCATATCTCAAATATTCCTAGGAGTGCTGGAAAGGAGTGGGGAGCAGACACATGTCAGAAAGGCAAAACGGCACGAAGTGAACGGCCTGCAGGACTCGTGAATTCAGGCTTGCGTGTACTCTGTGCACGGTAACGAGAGCTGAAAGGGCTTTGTTTCCAGGCCTTTCCATGTATTGTCTTGTTTAATCCTTATAGCATCTCTAGGAAGTGGGTACTGTTTTTATCTCAATTTCACAAACGAGGACATGGAGGCACAGCGAGGTCAGAGAAATACCTTGCTACGCCCCATGTAGGGCAAGGGTCCGTGACAGGTTAGGGTCTGGACGCGTGACTCCAGAGACCACAGCTGCACCCTTCGCCAGGAGTACCTGGCCTATCCTGCATTTCCCTGTCCGTATAGGTACAGACATGTTTGTTCTTCTTTGTTCTATTTCTGTTTGGAACCACATATATTGGCACTGCTTGTGTCACCAACAACTTGGTCCTGGTTTGATCTGAATTATTTATACATAATTTCCCCTTTGAGCAGGGAGTCCCAGTTACATCTCTCCACTTTTATCTTCACAAACATTAAAGACCCCTGGCGCTGGCCTCTTCTTACCTCCTTTCCACACGTGTAGTCTTGAAACGCTGCTGCTTTTCCTCCACAAACGACGTGTTTAGTGCTCTATGTAATCTCTGGCAAAAAGAACAGATTCACACATACAGATCATTAGAAACACACAGTCTGGGGACCAAGTACCACCTGAGTTTAATAGTGTATCTCACTGTTGCAAATCTGCGCCTCCAACAAATTGCCAGGGATGCCCGAAAACAGATCAACCTTCAGCCCTAAATCTCAAGAGAACCAAATTTTAATTCTAACCTATTGTTCTATCTAGAGGGGGAAAAAAGTAATTCGAAGGAAGCTTTAGACATGCTCTGGGTTGTAAATAGGTATGTGATGTAAAGAAGAGTCGTCACAACTAGTGTGTGGCAAAGGACCTTGCAGAATTGCTGAAGGTGAGTCAAAACGTCTTTGCAGCCAAAACCAAGAAGGGAAGAAGCCGGAGAATTCCGCTAGTCACGTGAGCACCCGACGGAGGCCACCTGTCTGCGCAGCTCCCCTGAGGAGACCAGCTCCTTTCCAGGACGAAGCAAAAAGAGCAGGTCCCATGTGGCCGAATCAAGGGCAGCGACCTAACTAGTAAAAAAGGGTCGCTGTCGCCGACGAGCGGGGCAGGGGCGGCCTCACGGACCCGCGCGCGGCCACCGCGGAGGCAGGCGGGAGCGGCCGGCTGGGGGATCAGGCTGGCGCCGGGCGCCTCCACCTCCGGGGGGCAGACGCCACAGCCGCCACAGCCCCTTCTGCTCTCGGCGGCCCCTCGGCGGCCCCTCGGCGGCCCCCGCCGTCAGGCCGAGCGGTGCGAGGGAGCGTGCGGCTCGGCCTGACGGTCCCCGTGGTGCCTGGGCCGGAGCGCGCCCGCGTCCAGGCACAGGACGCCCGTCCTGCGCGGCTCGGCCTGCGCACCGGCCGGCTCCCCACGTCGGGGCCACGGAAAATGCGGACGGAACGGGGGCCGCTGGGCTCATCGGCAGGCAAGTAGGGGCTTCAAGCTCGTTGAATGAGCTTCCGTTTTGGCTGGGAGAGTCTGTAGGAAGAAACTCTCGCACACCGTGTCGGCAGGTGGTCACCACTAAGGGAAGGCAGGTGAAAGACAACTCCCATCGCTGCCGCGTGAGCAACAGCGGAGGGCCGGAAGCAAGGCGGGGGCGTCACGGGACAGGCTGATCTAAGGGGAAAGTGCATTAGCGGGATAGAGGGAACGCCATCGTCTACACGGAGTTGTCTGCGCCACCGCGGTTCTCCTGGGAACCTGGCACCTGCCGGACGTGGGGCTCCGCACTCCGCGGGGCATCCGTGGCAGTTCGGGCGGTTCACACCGGAGCAGGCCGCCCGCGCACTCACCTGGCTGGTGTGGAGCCAGTACTGCAGCCTCGATTTGCTCTTGATCCGCGGCAGCAGCAGCCTGTACACCATGTGCTCCCCAACGGCTGTCAAGATGGACAGACCAAAGCCGATGCACAGCAGCACAAAGAGTCCAGAGAAGTGTTGGATGCCCATTTGCAAAGTCTGTGGCAGAACAGGGAAGGAAAGGCCGTGAATGCGAGGCTCCGCCTGGCCCCACGCTTGCTTTTAGATGCAGATACTTTTTTCCCCTGGACCGCAGGAGAGCTGGGGACTACCCCTCCCCAGCCCTCCCCGGGGGCTTGGCAGGCTTCGCTGGACTGCGTTGTGAGAGGGGCCCAGCCGGGGCGGACGGCCGCCGCGCAACACGCTTCCTGGGGAGCCGCGCACTACAGTCCTCTTGCATGAAGGGTCCCGGGGTCTGGACCGCCCTACTGGCTCTAGAGGGAGACTGAGAGATAGAGACCAAGGGTTGAAACAACTTAACATCCCGAAGCACTGACTAGTTATCAAGGAAAGAACCTTTCTCAGGGACACAGAATGAGTAGGTTTAAGGGGAAGGGATGATGAGTTTCAATAATTTTGACATTTAGATCTGGCAGGAACATGGAGATCATCTACTTCAGTGTTCTCATTTTTCAGATGAGGAACCTGGGACCAGGGAAGTGAAGTAAATTCAGGCAGGTCACAAAATTAGACAGCCAGAGAGGAGGGAAAAAAAAGGGGGGGGGGGACCTAATATTTATTGATTGCTTACCTTTTTGCACTGAGATAGGTATTAAAAACCACAACTTACAGTTGAAGAAACTAAAGTCCGTGCAGCTTTTAAGTGACCAAGCTGGTCTATAAGCCCATGTTTGTTTAGCTGTGAAGCCTGGGCTCTTTCTGCTCTACAACAAAACAGCAGCTGGGGCACCTGCGTGGCTCAGTCAGCTAAGGGCATGACTCCTGATTTCGGCTTAGGTCATGATCTCAGGGTCGTGAGATTGAGCCCCACATCAGGCTCTGCACTGGGCGTGGAGTCTGCATGGGGATTCTCTCTCTCCCTCTCCCCATCCTTCCCCTCCTCCCCCCCCAAAAAAGCCAGCAGCAGTTACAGCAACTATAGTTACAACAACTGTATGTGGCAGGTACTTTACTATGTGATTTACATATGAGATCTAAGAGAATCCTTACAAGTTCTCTGTGAAATGGGTATTATTCAGTCACGGACATCAATGACAAGAGTCAATCCTGCAGAAAGAAAGACGTTGGACACACTACTTCAGGCACTCTTTGAGGTACCACGGGATGAAGATAGGAGGGTTATGTCCCTGCCTTTAATCAACCTGAGTCTAGGGATGGAGCAAACATTCATACGCCATGATACAGACACTGATCCGTGTCGTCTCAGTTTTGTGGAGAAGTTGGTTCATAAGAGAGGTAGAATGTGGAGGCTTGGGTGGGAAAGTAAGCACTCTGAAGGTTGTGGAAACAGAGGGAAAGAAGTGATGTCTGGCGGGGCGCCTGGGTGGCTCAGATGGTTAAGCGTCTGCCTTCGGCTCAGGTCATGATCCCAGGGTCCTGGGATCGAGCCCCGCATCTGGTTCCTGCTCAGTGGGGAGCCTGCCTCTCCCTCTCCCACTCCCCCTGCTTGTGTTCCCTCTGTGTCTCTCTCTGTCAAATAAATAAATAAAATCTTAAAAAAAAAAAAAAAGAAGTGATGTCTGGCACAGTGATGTAGGGGGTTGTGAAGCAGACCCTGGTGGCTGAGGGGTAGGTCTGGTGCAGGAGGCATGCGCTGTGAGGGAGAAACAGGGCCATACTAAGCAAGCCCTTGGATACCAGTGCTAAGGAGCCTGATGTCATCCCTCTGCTCGGGGTTTTTGGTCATCATCAGTAATCATTTAGCACTTAATATGTGGAAGGCATAGCTCTGAGCACTTTATCACTGTAGCAACTTGCTTACTATTCATAACAACCTATGAGGTAGGTACTGTCATCACTTCCATTTTATAGGTGAGGAAACTTAGGAACAACATAGCTTAGCAACTTGTCCAAGGTCACATAGCTAGCGAAGGTTAGAGCTAGGGTACAAACCCAGGGAGTCTGGCTCCAGAGCCTATACTCTTAATCACCCTGCCTTGACTGATGTCAGTGTCTCCCCATTCTCTTGAAGGCGTTCTTTCATTCTCCCCACCTGAATCCTGAAGAAACAGCTAGCCAGACGTGGTTCAGGCACGGATCCACCTCCCGGTTATGCCAGGACGTCCATCTGGGGGCAGCGCTCAGAGGCAGAACTTGGGGATTTCAGACTCCGGTGGAGTCTGGGCCATGAAATCTCTTTTCCCCCATGACGGTACCTCCAGCAGTGGCTCCGTATCAGTGACGGCTGCTCGGATCCCTGGAGAACTAATGACTGGAGGTGAGCAGGGACATAGAGCATGGCCTGGTCTAGGCAACTGAGCACAAGGCAGGACAACTAGGCCGATCACCTGAGAATGAGGCAGAAGCCCAGCGCTAGGGAATAAGGAATGCTGGTCTAGGAAAGGCAAGAGGTGTATCGGGCCCCGAGAGCTATGCAAGTACTAGGGCTTCTCCTAGGACAAGTGGCGACCAACTGTGTAACACTGACCTCCAGAAAGCAGATTAGAAATATGTCTGAAAATAGCCCTTGGGCTGGACCTGTCGTAATGTGTACAGGATATGGCTATTATATAAGGATTTAATGAGTTATTACTGCTATGGATGAAGAAAAAAATGGAATTCATTTTTGACTTAACATCATCAAACAATCAGCAAAACAATAGACGGGCACCGCTTTCTTGTAAGGTGCTGCCAAGATGAGGGAGAAAGATGTAACTTACAATGAAACATCTTGCCTTTTAAACACATGGCTTCCCCTTCCGTTTTTTTGTGCATGACAATAACTAATCTAATTTTCCTCTCCTTACCTCAATAACAAATAGGCTGGATTCAGTTTATTTTAGATTTTATTTATTTATTTATTTGACAGAGAGAGAGAGAGAGCGCGCGCTCACAAGCATGAGCAGGGGGAGGGGTAGAGGGGAGAGGGAGAATCTTGAGCAGACTCTGAGCTGAGCCTGACGTGGGGCTTGATCTCACGACCCTGAGATCATGACCTGAGCTGAAACCAAGGGTTGGACACTTAACCGACTGAGCCACCCAGGTGCCCCCTCTTTTTTTAATTTAAATTTCTGTTGTTTACACCCACATACTAATAGATGAATAGATATAGTTACTGTTTCTTTTAAATTGGGCATCTAATATGTGTGCCAGGCATCATTACGCATATTATGATCTTTTAATAACCCTTTAAGTATTATTATCCCCATTTCACATTCAAGGAAACTGACTCTCATAGAGATTAGCCACCTTCCCCAAGATCTTACAAGCTAATAAATGGGGGAGCCAGGCTGTGGATCCAGGACTGTCTGTGCTAAAGCGTGCACTGCCTTTCAAGTGAATCCCATTTATAGGTACTCCTTGCCACCTGGATCCCGGGATCAAGACCTGAGGCGAAGGGAGACGCTTAACTGACTGAGTCACCCAGGTGCCCCATGTGTCTAGGAGTGTTTTAGTGATATTTAAAGAAACTCGTTGGGATTTTTAGATGAGGTGGGAATGCTTTGGTGGTTTCTTTTTTCCCCCATTTAAAACAATGGAAAGGACTTCTACCATCTGGAAATTCACTAGCTAATGTATTTCCAGGAATGGACTAGATTCAGATAAAGGGAGATGCCTGTTCTGGCAAATGTTCTGAGCGGTCTCTGCCCAGATCATGAGCGCTCCCAGTGACACATAGAGGCCAAGACCACCAATTTTGTTGCTGCCTAAACTTGCTTTGCATCTTGCTCAGATGTGGACATTTGAAACATCTGACAGCTGGTGAGATAACTAATTCTGAAACCTCCAGCAAGAAATGAAGTTCGATTTGCAACGACGTGGATGGAACTGGAGGGTATTATGCTGAGCGAAATAAGTCAATCAGAGAAAGACATGTATCATATGACCTCACTGATATGAGGAATTCTTAATCGCAGGAAACAAACTGAGGGTTGCTGGAGCGGGGGGTGGGGTGGGAGGGATGGGGTGACTGGGTGATAGACACTGGAGAGGGTATGTGCTCTGGTAAGCGCTGTGAATTGTGCAAGACTGTTGAATCTCAGATCTGTACCTCTGAAACAAATAATGCAATATATGTTAAGAAAAAACAAAAAAGAAGATAGCAGGAGGGGAAGAATGAAGGGGGGGAAATCGGAGGGGTAGACGAACCATGAGAGACGATGGACTCTGAAAAACAAACTGAGGGTTCTAGAGGGGAGGAGGGTGGGAGGATGGGTTAGCCTGGTGATGGGTATTGAGGAGGGCACGTTCTGCATGGAGCACTGGGTGTTATGCACAAACAATGAATCATGGAACACTACATCTAAAACTAATGATGTAATGTATGGGGATTAACATAACAATAAAAAAATTAAAAAAAAAAAAAGAAACGCAATTCGAGTATTTCATGCATCATGCCTTAGATGTTACTGAGTCCGAAGAGCTAAGCCTCCCCAGCCCCCAGGGCAACATCTCTCCACACACCCCAACTACACACTTTCTCTGGTCCTCGAAGGAGTTGGCTATACTTGTTTTCAATTCCTCTGTCCCCATTCACTTTTGGTCTATAACCTAGACAACTCCTGTCAAAGCCATCACAAAGACCTCCACATTGCCATGTCCAACAGTCATTTTTCACCTTGTATTCATGTGTCAGGTTGGATACATAATCAGGAGGATTATTCATCCTCTTTGATATATTTTCTTCACTGTTTCTGGGATACCTCTCTCTTTGTTCTACTTCAGTCTTGTTTACTCGTTCCTCATCTTTCCGATCATAAATATTGGCATGCCTTTGATTCTTTAGCACTTTCTTATCCAGACTCATGGCTTTAAATCCTACCTATCTGCCAATGACTTCTAAATTTATATCTTCCCCAAATCCCTATTCAGTCTCTCTACGTGGATATCTAACAGACATCCCAAACTTAACACACTAAAATAAACTAATTTTCCCCACTGAAAACTGCTCTTCACACAGTCTTTCTCATCAGAGAATCTCTGTCCTTGCTATTGCTCAGGCCAAAAACCTTAGAGTCATCTTTAACTGCTCTCTTTCT